GTGGTCCTATTCCTCAGTTGCACGACTGGTTATCGGCGTTGTCTTCCTCCACCCCCTCCTCTTCCTCGTCTTCCTCCGCCTCATCTTCCTCCTCCTCCTCATCCTCCTCTTCATCCTCCTCCTCCTCCTCCTCTTCCTCCTCCTCCTCTTCCTCCCCCTCTTCCTCCTTCTCCTCCTCCTCCTCCTTCTCCTCCTCCTCCTCCTCCTCCTCTCACTGTCACTGTACCTCCTCCTCCTCTTCCTCTTCCTCCTCCTCCTCCTCCTGCTGGGCCTCTTCCCGATATTCCTCGGCCTCTTCCTCCTGATCACCACCCGTCTCCCGTTCCTGCTTCTCCCTCCTCCTTCCCCCTCCTCCCAGGCAGCGTTGCTAACGGCCCCAAGCCCAAACCGAGCGGTTGCTGTTCCAGGGGGGGGGGAGTTCTTTGCGGGCCACGATCCGCGTGAGAGGTCTGCCGAGGTGAGCCGGGCGACGCTATTCACCTTTCTTCTCGTGCCGCGAATGCATTTATTTGCGAAGTACGATCCGCGCGAGGGGAGGGGCGTGAAACTATGCGAACATTGTCTTTGGGAACGTAGGTGGAGCTCTCTATGGGGCGTGATCCCTGTTTGGGGTGTGCCGACCTCGGTGGGAGGGCCCTGAGCCAAACCTGTCTTTGGGGCCGCAAGTGGAGCCCTTTGAGGTGCACATCCGTGTGACAATATGTGCCCCACGAGGCCGGACACTTTTCAGATTTCAGCTAGAGCTTGCTAGAAATTAAGCGCGCGTGGCTCTAATGTGTATACATATATATATATATATATATAGAAACATAGTTGGGCCGAGTCTTCGGTGTGGCAGCTACGTGGCCGCCGTCGCTGCCTTTTCACCGTCCGTCGCCGCCCTTGTTTTGCACCACGCAAGTTGCGCCAAACAATGTTCGTGCTGGCGGCGCGCTTTTTGGTCGCTCACAACATAAGCGCCACCAGGAATGCTGCACAGCACAGATTCTCCTTTCTAAAAGATTCATAGATTCTACCCCCCTCCCCCCCCGCGGACTTATCGGTTCCCCCCTGGGATAGTATGATTTCGTATATATATATAACCGCTAACCCGTGAGAATAAACACTAGGGGATAATACAGTTCGGGGTTCAGGGGGAGATAATCAAAGTAGCCCAACAAACCTCAGCATCATCTCGAAGTAAGAGATGATCAAGAGGAGACCAAGCCGAGCACGTTTTGAGACATCCTTGGCGTTTAGTCTTCATAGAAATATCTTCAACAATGGCTTATCTCGCTGGAGACATCCTCGACAAATCCCTTGTTTCGCCTGAGACATCCACAAACTATTGCTTATTTGGCTTGAGACACCGTCAAACTATTTCTTATTTCGCTTAAGAAAGGCGGAGAAATGGAGAAAGCGATATACAAAAACAAAAATAAAAAGAAACAGTAATAAATGAAAAAGAAAAAGGAAAAACATCAAAAAGAAAAGAAAATAGAGGAGGAGGAGAAAGAGAAGGAACAATCTCAAGACCAAATGTATTAGATTTTATTTACAAGCGCTTTATGAAAATTAAAATTTTTAAGTGCTCGTGTAGGGTAGCTCATGTGCTTCATTTTCCATGGATAATCAACACCAGGGATAAAAAAGTTCAGAGGGGGGGGGGGCATGGAGAGAGAGAGAGAGAGAGAAAGAGAGAGAGAGAGAGAGAAAGAGAGATACATCATAAAGAACAAGAAAGGAAGGACTTAAAGAGAGAATATATATTTAAAAAGAAAAGTAGAATAAGAAATGAAAATGATAAAGAGAAGATGAAATGAGGATAAGACAAAAAAAACTGAAGATTCAAACGTATTAAATTTTATTTACATGCGCTTTATGAACATTAAAATGTGTAAGTGCTCGTGTAGGGTAGCTCACGTGCCTCGTTTTCCCTGGAGAATCAACCCCAGCGATAAACAAGTTCAGGGCGCCAGGGGGAGGAGGAGGAAAAAGAGATAGAGAGACAGAGAGAGAGAGAGACAGAGAGGCCAGGAAGGAGAAAGAGATAGACAGAGAGAGAGAGAGAAAGAGAGACAGAGAAAGAAAGAAAGAAAGAGAGACAGAAAGAACTACAAAGAGACAGAAACACATAGGTTTCGCTTGAGACATCCTGAAACAACGTGTTCGCTTCGCTTGATGTTGTTATCTCAACATAAGAAGGAAGTAACTTCGATGGCGAACTTTTCCCGTGATAATGAAGTTCGGCCTCCGCGCCCCCGCGCCCCCGACCAAGCTCTTATTGGTCGACGATAATCAACTCTAAAGACTGAAGGGGGGGGGGGGGGATACATTATTATCCTCGGCATGCGGTTATATTCTGCACACTCGTCCATCCGAGTTATGAAATCATACCATCCCAGCCAAACCGGGTTCCCCCCCCTGAGGTTCCGTTGTCAAAAACACTACGCGGTGACATTTATTGTTCTAACATAAGACTTTTTCGCGAATCCGTTTCAAAAAATGAAACGAAGTGCACACGCGCGCGTCGTCGCGCGCGCATGCCGAAATCCTTCAAAAACCTGCGGTTCCGGAGAGATTTCAAAATTGAATTTCCAAAAAAACATACAAAAACACAGAGTTTCGCAACACTGATTTGTTAAAAAACACTTACGCGCGAGCTCTTGCGAAATCTTAAGAAATCCATAGGTTTTTCAAGATTTTCACAAAATGCTACCAAACGGGCTTCGCGCGCGCATGTCGAAATCTGTCAAACGCCCTTGCGCGTGTGCCGTCGCGAGAATCCTTTTGCAAAAAATGAGACGAAGTGCAGACGCGCGCGAAGTCCCGCGCGTATGCCGAAATCCTTCAAAAACCTCCGGTTTCGGAAGGATTCCAAAATCGTGTGTCCAAAAAACCTACAAAAACGCAAGGTTCCGCAACACGGGTTTTCAACAAAAGCGTGCGCGCGCGCTCTTGCGTCGTCGTCGTCGTCCTCCCTCCTCCCCCGTCGTCGTCGTCGTCGCCGTCGTCGTCTTCTGTCTTTCCTCGTCGTCGTCGTCGTCTTGGCGTCGTCGTCGCTTCCGTCGTCGTTGTCGCCGAAGTCGTCCTTCCTCCCTCGTCGTCTTCGTCGGCGTCTCGTCGTTGTCCCTCCTATTTCGTCGCCGTCGTCGTCGTCGTCGTCGTGGTCTTCACTCCTCCCTCGTCGTTATCCTCCTCCCTCGTCGTCGTCGTCGTCCGTCGTCGGCGTCTCGTCGTCGTCCCTCCTATTTCGTCGCCGTCGTCGTCGTCTTCGTCGTCGTTGTCGTCGTCGTCGTCTTCCCTCCTCCCTCGTCGTTGTCGTCGTCGGCGGCGCCGTCTTCCCTCCTCCATCGTCGTTGTCGTCGTTGTCGCCGTCGTTGTTTTTTCTCCTCCCTCGTCGTCGTCTCCGATGGCGACGTCGTCGTCGTCTTCGTCGTCGGCGTCGGCGTCGTCGTCGTCTTCGTCGACGTCGACGTCGGCGGTGTCGTCGTAGTCGGTGTCTGCGGCGCCGTCGTCGTTTGCACCCCATATATTGCACAACCTATGATTACTGCACGACTACATGCAGTGCACCACGTCGAAGGCACAACATGCATTGCACCCCATTTATTGTTCAACATACGTTGCACTACCCAGCTCTCACAACATGGATTGCACAACATGGATTTCACCAGCGTAGATTGTACCACCTAGATTGCGCGAAATTGTTTGCACTGAATAGATTACACCGTCTACATATACACATAGATACATATATTCATATGTATATAAACACATACGTACGTACATGTATACGTACAGCTACGTGTATATATCTCAATATAGTTAGCACCGCATGGACCACATATATTGGACCGCACATCTTGCTCTCTCTATATATGTGTATATATATATATGTTGCACCACATAATGTGCACCACGTATGTTGCATCACCTATTTTTGGACACTGTAGATTGCACCGCATAGAGAGCACCACGTATATTGCACACCCTATGTTGTAACTCGCAGGTTGCACAACATAGATTGCACCACGCAGAGTGCACCACATAGATAGCACCACAGATTTCGCTCCACATCGAATTCACCACATAGATTGCCCCACATAGATAACACCACAAGCAGTGCTAGAACCATACGGTTTGGGGCCCACGCTGGTTAACTCATATGTGTTCACATGTACATACATAAATGTATGGAGCTACTTACAAAACACCTGTATACGAATATACATGTCAAAGCTAGGTTGTTTTATATTTGTATTGATGCATACACATGACATATAACTCCCTACCTAGGCTCTGCCTAGAAGGGTTCTTACCGTGTTGGCTTAAAGGGCCGGGCAGTGTTCCACGCCCCGGGCGGTTCCCCCAGGATCCGCCCCGCGGTTCCCCCAGTGACGTTACCTTAGCTTAGCGTTGCTTATCTCATCTTAGTTTAGCTTATGTCATCTTAGCTTAGCTTAGCTTCATCTTAGCTCTGGTTTATCTTAGCTTAGCCTAGCTTAGATTAGCCTAGCCTAGCCTAGCGCAGCGCAGCGCAGCATTAGCATAGCATAGCATAGTATAGCATGTCATAGCATAGCATAGCGCAGCATAGCATATCACAGCATAGCCTGGCATATCATGGCTTAGCGCAGCATAGCATATCATAGCATAGCATAGCATAGCGCAGCATAGCATAGCATAGCATAGCGCAGCATAGCTTAGCATAGCATAGCATAGCATAGCACAGCGCAGGATAGCATGGCGTTTACCGTTACTACTAATATTGCTATCCTCGGGGTTCCAACTCCTAGGTAGGGTCGCTCTGGGATACGTTTATGTATATATACGCGCATATACGGACAGTACAAACATAAACTCATGTTGGCACATATAATGTATATGTCTATGTATATGCAAGTGTGTGTGGGGGGGCGTTTGTTGCCCCAATCTGGTCGAGTCGCACACCCAGTGAAGTCGTCCCCCCTCCCTTCCCTTCCCTTCCCTTCCCCTGACCACCCCCCCGCGGCCCGCAGGGGGTACGGCCTCGAGGTCGACATTTGGTCTCTCGGGGTGCTGCTGTACGAGCTGGCCTTCACGGGGGGGTGGGGTCGCACTTGGAAGTTGGAGCCGGCTGGAGGGCTGGGTAGCCCAGCATTGGCTTGGGCTAGCAGAACAAGGGGGAGGAAGGAGCCCCCTCGTCGCCACGGCTGGACGCGGCTCGAAACATTTGCGCAACAACGGGCTCACGGGTGGAGCAAGTGACTCCAGGAAGGTCCCCAGAACGAGCAGAAAAGCCGAGCAACGGCATGCGCATAACCTTTCCGAGGCCCGCACGGATTTCTCGGGCCGGTGTTGGACCTCCCTCGGGTGGGCAATCGGGTTGGCCTTCCCGACTGGCTGCTCGATCGGGTAGCCCGTCGGACCCCAGCACGCTCTGCACGCCAGGGAAGGGGTGCGGGGAAGGGAGTCCAGCGCCCACCCAAGGAAGTCCCTGCGGACCTCCCAGAGATCTCTACTCATTCAGTGTGTTGCTCTTCTCGCATGTGGTGTCTGGGCGCTCGCTGCACCGACGACAAGACCAGGGGACTCGTTGTTTGGAGGCTCGGCCAGGACCGCAAGAAGGGGGTTGCCTTGCTCTGTCTGATGGGGCGAAGGGTTGCCATGCGAGCACCGAGCTAGCCTTTTTGATCCAGTCGTGCTTCGCGCGTACGCCCAAGGGGAGGGAGGCCTCGGGGCGAATCGGAAGAGGGGCAGGAGGCGGAGAAGGAGCAGGGAGGAGACCCCGGGGGGAGGCGGGGAAGGAGGAGCACTCCACCCCCAGAGAGCGGCGCCGAGCGCAGTGGTGCGAGCGGCGTCGTGGCTCCGCGAGCGTCGAGCCGGGCGCAAAGGAGTGCTCCGAGCGTGGTGGCGCTGAGGACGGCGACGACGGTGACGACGGCGGCGACGGCGGCGGCGGCGGGCCGAGGTGTGCGGCTACCTGCCTTTTGCCGACGACAAAGACGACCCAACAGAGGCCATCCTGCGGGGCGCGGGGCGCGGGGCGGCGGCAGGGAGGAGCGTCAGCCACGCGCACAAGGGGGTAGGGGGAGGTGGAAGGCTTCTCAGAAACATCCCTGCTTCTTAGAAGGAGCGGGGCTTGTCTACATATGTAAGGCTGGCTTATTCTCAGAAATTCTAGATGCTTCTCGGGGGTGGACAGAACCCCCAACAGTGACACGTCGATTAGTGAATTGTCCGTTTTCGGTTCTCGAGAGGGCGCCGCGGGCATTATTTTCCAGGCCTGCGCCCACCAGGTTTGGGCCTCAGGTCGTTTTCACTAAACCACGTTTTACTAAAGGGGGGTCTGTCCATCCCCGAGCTTCGCGTAACCCCACCAGCCTACGGACCCTGCCCGCTGCGGGCCCCTTCCCAGGCACATCACTCTGACCGCAGCTGTTAGCTGCTCCCCCCCCCCCACGCCCCCGCCCCCCGTCCCCCCGCCCCCCCGCCCCCCCCGTCCTCGGTCCTCGCTGCGGCTGCTGCCCCCCGGGCTCCTCACGCACGCTGCGGCTGGTAAGCGGCTCCCCCCCCCCCGCCCTCCGTCCGCCTCTTCGCCCCCGTCCCCCACGCCTTTGCTCACTCTGACCGCGGCTGTTAGCTGCTCCCCCTCGCCCTCGGCCCCCGTCCCCACGCCCCCCCGTCTCCGGTCTACTGCCCCCCGGGCTCTTCATTGGCTCAGCTCTGCGGCTGTTAAGCTGCATCCCCACACCCGCCCCCCGCCCGCCCCTTTGCCCCCGCCCCCCACGCACCGTCGCCTCATGGGTCCAGGCTTTCGTGACGGTTAGTCGCTTCCCTGGTCCGTCTTGGTCCGTCGCTCCTCCTGCGGCTGTCCCCCCGCAGACGGTGCCGGGACCCATCCTTTGCGACCCCAGGCTCTTGTGGCGGTCAGCCGCCCTGATCTGTCCAGCCCGCCCCTCCTCCTGTGGCTGTCCCCCCGCAGGAGGTCCCGGGCTCACCCACTGTCTTTACTAGCTCTGCGACTGTTACCTGCGACCGCCACCCACAGTGCATCCGTGGCCGTCGGCGCTCTCCCCAGGACGCTGGGGCCAGCAGGCAATGAACTTCCTGGACCGTCTGGCCCGTCCTCCTCCTGCGGCTGTCCCCCCGCAGGAGGTGCACGGGGCCGCCCACTGATTTCATTATCTCTGCAGCTGTTAGCTGCGACCGCCACCCACGGTGCGACCGTGGCCCTCGGCGCTCCCTCCTGGGGCGCTGCTGGTGCCAGGAGGTATGTCGATGGCCTTCCTGGACTGTCTGGACAGTCCTTCCTCCTGCGGCTGTCCCCCCGCAGGAGGTGCACGGGCCCACCCACTGTTTATTTCTGCGGCTGTTAGCTGTGACCGCCACCCACAATGCGTACGTGGCCCTCAGCGCTCCCCCCGGGGCGCTGGGGCCAGCGCCAGCAGACACCAGGCCCTTTTCGTTGCGGTTGTTCCCCCCGCAGGAGGTGCTCGGGTCCAACAGTGCAACCGTGGCCTCTGCACCCGTCGCTCTACGCTGGTTCCGCTCGGGGGCCATGGTCCGCGGTGCGCCGCCTGCTCGGACGGCACGCATCGCCGGTTGGGGTTCCTCTGGGTGCAGGGTTCCTATTGGCACTTCGTTGGAGGTTCGCCCGCCTACGTGATATGGTTACGCGATATTGTTCCTGGCGACGGCGGTGGTGTTCTGGCTCCACATTCGGCACATGTTGTGTCGCAGCTGAGGAGAAGTTCGTCGAGGATGACGTCGTCGTAGTTGGGTGCTGTCGATCCCTTCGACACTCGGGTTCGGTTGTCTTCGACTTCTGAGCGGCGGTTGAGCCCAGGTGCGTACCTTGCAATTTTCGGCTGCTCGCTCGCTGCACGCGCTTGGCCTCGTTTCTGGCCGCTGTAACTTAGGTCTTTGCTGGATCTTCCTGACGGCGCGCGGCTGTCCCGCTTGCGTTCGCGAGCAGAAAAGTAACCCCGCCAGCCCATCCAGAAACGATGCCCTGAGGAATTGCCTCGATCAGGGAAGTGGGCAGTACGCAGAGGGAGGGTCCCCCAGCCGAGGCCTCTTGGAGCGTCTTGGGGGCCTCTTGGCGGTCCCAGACGCCTCTTAGAGCGTCTTGGGTGCCCCGGATATTTTTTGGGTGCCTGCTGGGGGTCCCTGGGGGGCCTCTTGGAGGCCTCTCGGGCGCCTGTTGGGGCCTCTCGGGGCCGTCTGGGCGCCTCTTGGGCCCCTCTTGGGGCGCTTTTGGGGGCCTTGGGAGCGCTCTCGGAGCCCTTTTGGGCTGTCTTGGAGCCATCTCGAGGCTTCGGATGGTCATCGGAAGCGAAAAGGCGAGAAAGCGAAAAACACGTTGGAAAGGCTTTGGCCTCTTCGGGGGCCTCCTGGGGGAGCTCTTTGGCCACTCGGAGCCGTTTTGTACCTGTCTTGGGGCCTCTTGGAGCATCGTGGGAGCCAGATTGAGGCATCTTCGGATATCTTGAGCCATTTGGGAGGTCATCTTGGGCTCTCCCAGGCGCCCTTGAGTCATTTTAAGCAGTGTTCCCCCCACGAGGCCAAGATGTGGCCAAAACCTTAGTACAATCAATGAGTTTGGCATTGTCGCCGAGGCCTCTTGGAGCGTCTTGGAAGTCTCTGGGGGGCCTCTTGGGGCCTCTTGGGGGTCTCTTGGGGCATCCTGGGGGACCTCTTGGGGCCTCTTGGTTCCTCCTGGCCACCTCTCGGGGCCCTCTTGGGGCACCCTTTATGAGCCTTGGGGCGCTCGTGGGGCCATCTCGGAGGAGATCGATCAAAGAAGGGGGGGCCCTTCATTAACTCCCCCCCCTCTGGGGGCCAAAATGTGACCAACACCATGGTAAAACCAAATTTCGAGGCTTCCTCGTCGAGGCCGTTTTGGACGCCCTGACCGCTCGCGGGGCGCCCCGTCCAGGTCCAGGGGAGGGGATAGGGACAGGGGTAAACCCCCTCCCCGAAGGGGACGAAAAGGGGGTTGGAAGAGGAACCGCCCTACGCCGAGAGGGATGGTGGGATTGTTTTTTCTATTTCTAAAAAGCCTTCCCCCCTCCCTCTACCCCCTTGCGCGCGACGCCAAGGCAACGGCAAGAACGTTGGGGGTTGTGCAGGGAGCGACGCGAGGTCCCCCGTCCCAGAAAGCCGGGCGCTAGATTCTGCTCGCGGTAGGCGTCGTAACCCGGTTTTGGGCCCAGGGACCATCACAGATCGATGTGGCTAGGAAGATGCCGCAGACGGGCGTTGTGTGTTCACACTGGGCGTCTTCAACAGGTCTCGGGCTCGGGGACCATCACAGATCGATGTGGCAACGTCGGGTTGGAGGGCTCGAGGGTCGTCATATTCGCCGTCGTCTTCTCGATCCTCGAGGATTTGTTTGGGCCCTTCGTGGGCCTCTGGGAGCCTCCGAGGGATCGGGGCGGTCCCAGCGGAGGCCTCCTGAGCGGCTCGCCGGGGCCTCGGTGGTGTCAGAGATGAAGCGCTGGGCAGACGCATCGGCCCCCGGGGGCGATTGCGGCCCAGGAACCGCGGGCCTCCGACATGGCAGCCATGGCAGAAAGTCCAGGGCTTGTCGGGTCGGACGAAAAGTTCGTCCGCCCGTGTATGCCGTTGTTGTTAAAAAGGGGGAGTGCGAAATTTGTATGCCGCTGCTGCTTACAATGTGGGGGAGTACATTGTCCGTACCCCCTCCTGAAAGGGTGGTGGTAAATCTGCTGCATGCAGCTGATTTCGGCCCCGCCGCTGGGTGTTTGTTTACATCATATGGCGTCCAGAGTACGGGGCCCAGCCTCCGGGCCAGCACACCCTTTGACTTCCATCCTCTCCCCTTTTCTGCCACCCCGGCCTCCCGGAACTCCCCCGGCGGCCCAAAACAATTCCGGGAGGCGCGAATCCGAGACAAAAGCGGCGCAATCGGACCCGAGGGCGGCTTGAACATGCCCAAGACGACCCAAGATTGCCCAGGAGGCCTTGAAGACAGCCCGAGAAGGCTCCAAGATGCCCTCCAAGATTTCCCCAGGAGGCCCAAATCGCCGCAGTCCTGGACGCGTTTTTTCTGCATATTCGTTTCGGGGGTCTGAACAGCTTCCACGACAGCCCAAGAGGCCCCCGATTTCACCCCAAGACGGCCGAAGAGGCCCCCATGAGGGCCTCAAGACGGCCAAAGAGAGCCTCAAGACGGCCCAACAGGCGCCAAGACGGCCCAAGAGGGGGAACCCAAGAGGAGAAATTCCAGATGACATTCCGAGACCTCCGCCCGAAGTGGACCCACGAGACCGCCAGCAGGCGCCCAAGTGGCCCCCAAGAGCCCCCAAAGAGGCCCTCAAACGGCTCCGAAGAGGCCCCGAGAGGTTTCACAGTTGTTCTTACAGGCGCCCTAGAAGCCCAAGAGACCCCACCAGGGTGTCCAAGAAGCCTCAGAAACCGCAACCCAGTGAGCCAGTAGATAGTAGATCAGCAAACACTTCCTCTGGCGACTGGCAACGGGCCCAACCCTACGCAGTCAGGTTTAGCGCAAGGCGCGGCCATCTCTTCATGTACTGCGCGCCGCGGGACCGTGCGGATGGCGGGCTGCTGAGGAGCATTCATGCACAGGCGCGCTGGACTCTGTGTGTGTGGGGGGTGGGGGGGGGCACGATCCGCGTGAAGGGGGTGCCGAAAGATCTGGGTGCCCCCGCCCTAGCACGCTCATTAAGGCCGCATGTGGAGCTCCTTATGGGGCGCGACTCGTGTGAGGCATGTGCCGAAATGTACGGGGGGACGCCATGCGAAGTTGATCATTGGTGCCATAAGGACTCCTTTGGGGGTGCGATTCGCGTAAAGGGTGTACCGGAATGGGCGGGGGGAGGATGAGCGAACCTTGTATCTGCGGCTGCGAGTAGTGCTCCCAGTGGGGTACGATCCGCGTGAGGGGTGTGCTGAAGTAGGCGGGTTGGGGCCGGGATGCGAACACTGCCTCTGGGGCCGTAGGTGGAGCTCCTTGCGGGGCACGATTCGTGTGAGAGGTGTGCCGAAATAAGTGGGGCGAGGCTATGCGAAGCTCCCGTCTGGTACCGTAAGCGCAGTTACTTGCGGGGCAGCAGAATCCACGTGAGGAATGAGCCGAAGTGCGAATCTTGTTTCTGGGTCCGTAGGTGGAGCTTCCTTTGGGGTACGATCCTTGTGAGGAGTGTGCCGAGATGGGCGGGGGGCCGTGGGTGGCGCTCATTGAGGGCACGATCCGTGTGAAGGATGTGCCGACAAGGGTGAGGCAAACGTAATTCAGATATGTATGCCCACGATTGCGCAGGTGTTCACACGTGGTGATCGTGGTGGGATGGTGAGAGTGCCCATCTGCTGATTGATATGACGCTGGCTCTGCCTGTGCTAGAACCAAAGCTCGCAAAGCGCGCGCTCTTTGTACTTCCTGTATACTTGGGCGCCTCCAGCGCCAGCCACGTGAGCCGATTCTCCACCCCCCCTTTGTTGTCCCCCCTGCCCCAAAGCTGCCGTGTGGTCCGCGCGTGTTGGGTCTGACGGCGCCGCCGTCTCTGCCGTCCTCGCCCTCGTCGTCGCCGTCACCGCCGCCGCCGTCGCCGCCCGCATCGTCGCCATCCGAACTGTCGCCCTGGCGTCGACGTCGTCGCCGTCGCTTCCGTCGTCGTCGATGCCGTCGTCGCCCCACCTGGGTTGTGCCGCTGTCCCCCTCGCCGGCGAGCCCAAGGGGGAATGCAGCCTCTTAAGAAGGCTCGGGAGGCCTCGGGCCTTCTGTGGAGTTTTCGAAGCTTCCCTCGAAGTTGCGGGACACTCCTCGGCCGGCGCGAGGGCTTCTGAGCAGCCCCGCCGCCTTCTGGGAAGGCCTGCCCCCGTGGAGCTTTCCCCCCCTGAGCTCGAGCGTTGCACTACGCTGGTGCCGCCGGCCCCCCCCCCCCACCCCCCGTTCAAGGGGGGGACTGGGAAAGCGGGGGGGTACGAAATCTGTTGAGTGCAGCTGGTTTCGGTCTCTCGGGCCGGATGAAAAGGGGGGATTGGGAAAGGGGGGTCACGAAATTTGCTGCGTGCAGCCGGTTTCGGCCCCGCAGCCGGGCCCACTCCTCGATACTTGGGCGCCGGGAGGCGCCGGGAAAATCAGCTATACACGTGAGCTGCTCCTCAACCCCCCCCGTTTGCTGTCCCCCCCTCTCGCCGCCGGCCCGGCTCTCGCCGCCAGCCCGCGCCGCGCACCCGCAGGTCTGTCAGGCCGTCCTGAAGGCGCCGCTGAAGTTCCCGAGGAGCGGCCCCGCCGCTCTGCCCGCGCGCGGGCCGGGCGGGGGCCCGGGGGCTGCCTGCGTCCTGGCCTCCCAGAGGGAGCCCGAGTGCTCTGGATGGGGGGTTTTCAAAGGGTGGGGGCTGGCCTGCCGACTGAGCTTGCCAATCCCCCCCCCTCCCCTCCTCACCCTCCTCCTCCTCCACCGCCTCCTCCTCCTCCTCCCTCCTCCATCCTCCTCCTCCTCCTCCTCCTCCTCCTCCTCCTCCTCCTCCTCCTCCTCCTCCTCCTCCTCCTCCTCCTCCTCCTCCTCCTCCTCCTCCTCCATCCTCCTCCATCCTCCTCCTCCAACCTCCATCCCTTCTCCACCCGTTCCAGCAGCGCGTGCCCAACCCCCCGGCGGATCCGAGGAGGGGGTGCGATGATTGTCACATCCGGAGTAGGGCTCGGAGGATCGCGCCGCATCGGCGATGCATCGGCGATGCGGCTCGATGTGGAGCCCGATTGCATCTACGCCGTCGGCGCCGCTGCATCGCCGACGTCGACGATGCATCGCCGATGTATCGGCGATTTGGTGCAATCCTCCGACCCCCTGTATTCGGACCCCACTCAGGAGAACTCTACATCAGGGGCAACGTTCGAGGTTTGAAGTTTTCGGGCCTTTTCGTCGGTACCTGGAGGCTTTCCAGCCACGGGATGCTCGCCAACAGCTGCGCTTCGCCGAGGGCGTTCCAGGGGTGTCCCGATCGTCCTGGACGGCCGCTGGGGAGTCGCGCTATGACCCGAAAACCAACAGACAACGTTGGGGGGTGATAGGTTCAGGGGCGGATGCGTCGACCCCCAGTCGCCCCTTGATCGCCGATAGTGGCCGAGTGGCCTACCCCGCCCAGGACCGTGCGGCTTCGCTGTCGGGGGCCTATCTCTGTCCTATCGGCCGTGTATCTCCGATCCCAGGTCGATGTCTCCCCACCTGAGCCAGTCCCCCCCCGCCTAACAAGGTCCGCAGAGCGGCTACGCGCACGAGTTCGCCATGAAGCGGACGTGTCCTGAGGGAGGCGGGCCATCAGGTTGTGCGTCGTCTTCGGGCTCCCTGGGCCTTCGCGGGCCCCGGGGTCGTCAGGCAACGATCCCGGAGGGAGAAGGAACTGGCCACGGGGGAAGGCCCCGCGGTCCGGGACCCGATGCTGGCAGTCGGGGGGGCACAGAACTTGGCATCGCTCGGACGTGTGCATTGCATTTTTCCTTCGAGGAGCATCCTTGATCATTTGGCGAAAAAGCCACGCACGAAACCGAAAAAAAGCACAGGGAATGGACGTCCGAGCGATGGCCAGAGAACGGGGGGAGGGGGGCCCAAGGAGGGGCTGCGGAGCAGACCCAGCTCGAGGCTGCTGTACACGAGAGAGCGCGCCCGTGGCACGCTCCCACGAGGGGGGGTGTCCCTCCCTGGCTCCCCAGCTGCCCCCACCCCCCTTGGACCTCTCCTGCCCCAGGCTCCCCCCCACCCCCCCTCTCTTTTCCGCCCCCCCCTGGTGGCTAACCCACCCTCCTCCCTTTCGCCACCCTTTTCGCGCTCCCGGAGCTGCCCCCCTCCCCCCTGCCCCCCTTTCCAAGAGGGGGGGCGGGGGCTCAGCTACCCCCCCCCCCCTTTGAACCCCCCTGTCGGAAGCCCCACCCCCCTTCATATTTTTTCCGCCCCTCGGAAGACCCCTCCCCTCCCCCCAGTCGCGTTCCGGAAGCTACCTCCCCCCCATTTCCCCCCCTTTCCATGGAGGGGGGGAGGGGGCTTAGCTACCCCCCCCCTTTAAACCCCCCCCTGCCGGAAGCCCCCCCCCCGCCCCCCCCGTTGTGGCCAAGGGTGGGAAGTTTGGAAGCCCCCTCCTTTGGTTAAAGAAAGGGGCGCCGAAGACCAAAAGGGTGCCTCGCCGAAAACCAAAGGGCCACCGAAAACAGAAAGGGCGACGAGAACCAAAGGCGCGCCGGAAACCGAAGGAACGCCGAAAACCGAAAAAGGCGCCGAAAACCGAAGGTGCACCGAAAACCAAAAGTGCGCCGAAAGCCGAGGGAGCGCCGAAAGCCAAAGGAGCGCCAAAATCCAAGGGAGCGCCAACCAAAAGGGAGCCGACCACCAATGAAGCGCCGAAGCACTCCGACCCAATGCGCCAATAGTTGGCGGAGAGCACAGACAGGGGGGGCATTGGGAGCCCCCAAACCAGGCGGTGAGAGATCAGATGGTGAAAACCGAATGGTGACACCAAATCGCCCGAGTCGGCCCAAGAAGGGCCCAATGATCTGCCAAAGCTTGAAACCCAGGCCCGCCTGCGGGCGATTGCCCCTGACCCAGGCCCCCTGGGGGACGGCGGAAACACTCCCGCCGCCGAAGACCAACAAAATTGCAATCAAAACCAGCAGGGCCGAAAAGGAGCGCCAAAAAAGGCTCGAAGACCAAAAAAGAGGTGTCACAAACCAAAAGAGCGCGCCGAAAGCCGAAGGACGCCGAAAACCAAAGTTGCGCCGAAAGCCAAAAGAGCGCGCCGAAACAAAAGAGCAGCGCCGAAAACCAAAAGGGCGCCGAAAACTAAAGAGTCGCCGAACTCCAAAAGGGCGCCGAAAACTAAAGGATCGCCGAATTTCAAAAGGACGCCGAAAACCAAAGGGGCGCCGAAAACCGATTTGGCGCCGACAACCAAAAGGTCGCCAAACATAAAAGGGCACCGAAAATCAAAACGGTGCCGCGAAAACCAAAGGGGCCCCGAAAATCAAAAGGGCACCTAAAACCAAAACGTCGCCGAAAACCAAAGGAGCGCCGAAAACCAAACGGCCGCCGAAACCACACGGGCGCCGAGAACCAAAGGAGCGCCGAAAACCGAAAGGGGGGCGTCGAAAGACAACGAAGCGCCGAACACAAACAGGGGCGCCGAAAACTAAAGATGCGCCGGAAACCAAAGGGGCGCCGAACACCCAAGTGGCGCCGACAACCAAACGGAGCGCCGAAAACCCAAGGTGCGCCGAGAACCAACGATGCGCCGAAAACCAGAAGGGCGCCGAAAAGCCAAAGAGGCGAAGATAACCAAAAGGGCGCCGAAAACAAAAGGGGCGCCGAAAACAACAGAAGCTCCGAACACCAAAGAGGCAACGAAACCAAAAGCGCGCCGAAAACCAAAGGAACCAAAGAGACGCCGAAAACCAAGTTCGCCGAAAACCAACGCGGCGCCGAAAACCAAATAAGGAAAGTAGCTTCGAAGTCCCCCTTCAGCCAGGGCCCTCCGAAAGGCCAACAGAAGGAGGGGAGGGGAGGGGCTAGTTTCGACCCCCCCCCCCTGGAAAGTGGAGCCCGAGCTCACCCTGGGCCCCGAAAAGGAGGGGAGGGTGAAGGGTAGCTTCCAAGCCCCTTCGGGGACCCCCAGCTAAAAAATCCAAACAGTGGCTTCGGAAGCCCCCCCCCTTTGAAAGGGTCAGCCCGGGCTGATCCCGGGCCCCGCAAAGGGGAGGATGGGGGGACTGTTGATTGCCGCACACGGAGTGGAAGTGATGATTGTCTGGGACTGACGAGAGTTGTGCATGGCTTGTGTGCGGGGCGCAGGATCGGGCTTGGTGCGTGATGATGCGTTGAATACAACTCCTCAGTTGTGTATCTTCGGCCTCTTCCACCTCCTCTACCCCCTCTCGTTACCTCTCTTCCTACCAGCTCTTGGGTGTGTGTCAGCGAAGGACGAGAGTTGAATTGCAGGACTCGTCGATGCCTGCGCAGTGCGTGATGCACGAATGCCGCTTCACTTGCAGGCAAGGAGTACTGGCAGCACATGGGTTAGAAGTGGTCGCGATAGAGGGATCGTCGAGCGGCCGATTTGATGAACTCTGCACGGGAGCCTGGCCAAGAGACGCTCCGTCCTGCCAGGAGATACAAGGATCAGCTGGGCAAGGACGTCCTGCTCCGCTCCTTCCCGCTTGCTTCCAGTGCTCCGTGCATCCAACTGGAGGTGAATAGAAGGTATGGTATTCGCCAATTTTCGTTTCTGGGCGCTCTACCCGTGCAGCGTGTTGTTCTCATGAATGTGTTGGTATCGGGCATAGGGTTTAAGGATTGTCTTTCAGATGGCTAGATCCCTGGACGCTCCTCGCACGCATTGCCCAGGTGAGACAGCTCCAGCTAGAATTGTCCACCCAAATGGTTCAGAATATGGGGGCCCCGCGAGATACCAGATTCCTGGCACAGCGGTTCCACTACCGTACTGAGTGCCGTCTTCAAGCATTTCCATCCACAGCAGGATGTTGTTATTGGTCACCGCCCTCTTCCTCCTCGTCTTCCTCGCCATATTTCACGCTTCCATGGGGTGGGCTCGGCGATATCCTGCACTAGTCATTACCCTAGTATTCCCTTCCCCCTCGTCCTTCTCTTCCTCCCTCCCTGCCGCCTCCTCCTCCCCCTCCCCCTCCCCCTCCTCCTCCTCCTCCTCCTCCTCCTCCTCCTCCTCCTCCTCCTCCTCCTCCTCCTCCATGCCTTGTCCTTATAAGTCACGTCTCCCTGCCGCACCCCGAGGCCAGTTTCTAGGGCGGTCTGGGCGGTTCGCCCGAGAATTCCTCACCACTTACGACCTGGACGGCGGGTGGTTTTCAAATTGTGGCTCTCGCCGTAGCGCCGCGCACATTCGTTTTGAACATTTGCGAGACGTTCACTGATTGAGAGCGGTTCCTTTTTCAAAATGTAGCTCTCGCCTTGGCGCCACGCACATTTGTTTTTGACATGTGCCAGAGCTTCACGGATTGAGGGCGTTGTTTCAAAATGTGGTTCTCGCCCAAGCGCCGCGCACATTCGCTTTAAACATTTGCAAGACTTCCACGGGTTCCCATGATCAGCGCACCAGAGATGTTTTTTTTGGAAGGATTCTGGATTATGAGGGCGCAACAGTTACGGGGTTGAAGTCCCAAGAAAAGCGTTCTGGTAGGATGCAGGATCGTCAAGACGCAACAGTCAGGTTGATCCGTGACGTTGGAATCCCGAGAACGGTGTTTTGGCATGCATCAGGATCTTCGAATGGTTGTTTTCCAACGAAGCAGTTCCCTCAGTGGAAATGCACCCTTGTAGGGGCCTATAAAGAGGGAGCTCGGAGGGAGGGCTTATCCCAACATCGTGCATGACTCTTGGGTTTACACAGGTCCTCCTCCTGCCCCACCCTCATCGCTTCTTCTACCGTTCATCCCTTTCCTCACATTTCCTTCTCGTCCATCTCCCCATCACAACCTCCACTTCGCCTTTTTTTCGACCTGCCCCACCCACCACCCATCTCCCTTGTAACTGATTCACCTTCGCACCACCAATCGTGTCGAAATGACAGACTGGGCGTTTCGTCTAAGATTTCTTCATCGGTTCTGTTCCTGGAACTTCAAGCCGCCAACGACAACCAGGATGGTGGAGGGTTGTCCAGGGTCTACATGTTTCTCTTCGCGGTCGTGCCGCAAACATTCGTGCTCACAGCTCCTCACCTCCAACCAGTTTCAACTAGTAAGGGCGGGTGGTGTTCATAATGTGGTTCTCGCCTTCGTTTTGAAGGTTTGAATTGCGCTAGAAGTTCCCAAGTATTGCACGGATGGGGGAAGTTCTCACGCACGGATGCAATTGCCGCAGGTGTTCCTTGTCGCGCTTGCACACGTGAAAAGAAGTGCTTGACGCTCACGCGCCAAAGGGGGGCCAGAATTGTCACATCCAACATATGGTCGTGGAGTTATTACCACGTCAGAACTCGTGCGCGGAGGGGGAGTACCCAACATGCGATTGGTGCGCGGGGTCGGGGGAAGGGCACAAGCGTTTGGAGCGTGCGCGCTTGGCATATGTTTCCACGTGCCTTCGGTGCCGATGGGGGCACAAGTGGGTCATCCAACATGTGCGCGCCGAGTTCGCCACACGTAAAAATACATGTGCGGAGGGTGGGTGCCCAACACACGCTTGCCGTGTGCGCGTTTGGCACGTGGGGTTTTCACGTGTGCAGGCGCGAGGGTGGCATCCAGCATGCGGCCGCCGAGTTCATCAAACGTGGAAACATTTGCCAGGAGTGGGTGTTCCCAACATGCGTTTGGCGCGTGCGAGTCTGGAAGTTCTTCGCACGTAAACATACGAGCTCGGAGGGTGCATCCAACATGAGCTTGTCGCGTCAAGGGCCACAAGGAGGAAAGCCTACTTGCGCAGAGAGGGGGTACCCAACTTGCGCCTTGCGCGCGCGCGTTTGGGAGTTCCTCACTGGCACGTCAGGAAACGTGCGCGGAGGGGGGGTTGTACCAGGGCTCGTTTGGATTCCCCGGCCTCGGTTCGATTCGATTTCGATCGATTCAGACTTTATTCGAATTCGGAGTCCGATTTGGGCTTCGGTTCCTCACTGGAGGCCTTGCTAGCCTGCCGATGTCCGCCGCGCCGACTTCTCCCAACTTGGTTGCCAGAGTTCTGCCGATCCGATTCATTTCGATCGCCGATCAGATTGATCGATTCGACGTGCGGTTCTCTTGGGTTACACAACATGCGCCCAGCACGTGCTCGCGTGGGAGTTATCCATGCGTAAGCACACGTGCGCACAGGGGGGGGGGCATGCGCGTGTGGCGCGTGCACGTTCAGAGCGTGCGTGTTTTTCTTAAGTAGCTTCGACGCCAAAGGGCAGAATAAGGGGGGCATGCAGACATGTAGTCGTCGAGGTCATGGCACGCAGAACGCTCGCGCCCAGGGGTGGGGGCACCTAGCATTCGCACCGTTGCGTGCGCGGTTGGCACGTGTTTGCGCGCGTGCGGACACGAATGGGTGCATCCAACATGTGGTAGCCGAGTTAATCGCGCGTGCAAGCGTGCCCAAAGGGGGGATACACAGCATGCGCTTGGCGCGCGCGAGGCAAGATTGTGAATTGTTCACACGTGAACGAACGTGCGCGGAAATGGGGGGCATCCGACATACACTTGGCGCATGCGCGTTTGACATGTGCTGTTACGTATTATCGGCGCCAAATGGGCCACAAGAAGGGGCACGAAAGTGTGGTCGTCGAGTCGATCGCACGTCAAAATGCGTGCGCTGAGGGGGGTGTACCCAACCTACGCCTGACGCGCGCGCGCGTGTTTTGGAGTTCACCACATGTGAACGCACAAGCGCGTGTGGTAATTACTTGCTGTCACGGGTTTTCGGCGCCAAAAGGGACACACGGGGTATCCAACATGTGATCGTCGAGTTCTTCACAGATCACTATTGATGCGCAGGAGGGAGGATCCAACATGCGTTAGGCGCGTGCGCGTTTGGCGTGTTTGGTTTCTGCCCACACGTAAGCAGACGTGGGTGGAGGGGGGACATACAACATGCGCCTGGCGGTTGCGCGATTGGCGCTGAAAGGGCACAACAAGGGAGGGCATCCAACTTGTTGTCGTCGAGATTACGCGTAAAGGAATTGCGCGGAGGTGCGAACTTGGCACGTGTCCTCACACGTGCGGGCACAAAAGGGTGGTCGCAGGATGGCCTAGGAGGCCCCCACCAAGGGAGGAGGAGGAGGAGGAGGAGGAGGAGGAGGAGGAGGAGGAGGAGGAGGAGCAGTAGCAGGAGCAGCAGGGAGGAGAGGGAGGGAGCAGAAGGAACAACAGGGTGGGTGGAGGAGCAGCAGGAGGAGCAGGAGGGGTGGGGGGGGGAGGAGAAAGCGCAGGAGCGCGAGCGGGATTAGGGAGATGGGGGGGGTAGGAGACAGGGGGAGGAGGAGGAGGAGGGGGAGGGGACGGGAAGAGCAGGAGGAGGATGACGACGGCGACCAGAACGAGGAGGACGAGGACGAGGACGAGGACGAGGACGAGAACGGCTCCGACGACAGCGTGCAGGGCGCCGCGGCCGCGGCCGCGCCCTCGCAGCCTCCTTTTCTGCGAGGCTCCCGAAGAACCCCGCAGCGCGCTGCGCCCGACAGCCATGGGGCAAGACAGCAGGCGCCCTTGGTCCTCCGCCCTCGGGCCCCTCCTCTCCTCGCTGCACCCTCGGTGCCCCCTCCCCGTGGCCTGGCGCCGAAGGAGAAGAGGGTGAGGAGAGGGAGGCGGCGGAGGAGGAGGAGGAGGAGGAGGAGGAGGAGGAGGAGGAGGAGGAGGAGCCGGGGGCCATCAGACCCGGACCCCGCCGGGTCGTGGAAACATCACGGCGGGAAGTGTCCATCCTTCCCTGCCTCCCAGGGGCCCTCGCCGGGCCCTGGGGCCGTCGAAAGACGACGCGTGGTGAAGCGCGAGTCCCAGGGAGAAGGTCGAGACCTCCAGGGGTCCACGCTCCGAAGAAGAACAGCGTCGGGGGTCTGGGGAGACAGGTCTGGGGCGGAGAGCTGCCACCGGGGATGGGCCCCACGGGGCCCGCGGGTGGGGGCTCTCTTCCTTTGTTGCGTAGCCCTCTAAAGGCAGCGGACTTCGTTCTATCGCTTGCTGTTCCTCGCTGCCTTCTTTTCTCGGACCGTCTTCCTTCCCTTGTCCACCCTTCTTTGGCTCAGCGCGTCGCGCCGCCCGTTCTGGCCCACCATGCTGCGGAGCGGCACGCGAACCGCGTCCCCACTCCCGAGCGTCAGCGTGACGAGTTTTTCCCAGCCTCCGCTTGCAGGGCATAGCGTGTCGCCGGGGCCTCCGCCGCGACACGCTATCCAAAAGTTCCCGACCGTCGGCCTCTTGAGGGGCATTGGTCTTCGTCGTCCTCATGTCTGCTGTTTCGCTATGTCTCTTTTTTTCGGGTCGTCTTCCTTCCCTTGTCCGCCGTTCCCTTCTGGTCAGGAACTGTCGGATAGCGCGTCGTTCCGCCAGGCCTGGCCCACCACGCTGCGCGCTATCCACGCCGCGGTCCCCAGGCGTCCACGTGCCGCTCTCCGCTGGCGGAGCGACACGCTAAGCAACAGTTTCCGACCGCAAGTGTCCAGTGTCGCTCATCCCTTCCTTGGATTCGCCGCCCGCCAAACAACCGCAACCCAACCCGAAGGCCCCGATTTGCTTCCCATGTCCAGTGGCAGGGGGTCGGGGAACACCGAACAAAAACACGTGTGGAACCCGTACCCCCCCCCCCCGACCCGAGGTTCGAGTCTTCGGGTTGGGTTGGGGTGGTCTGTTGGGTAGTCGTGTGACCTCCTCCGCTGGCCGTCGGCCGGGCGGGGGGCCGCCGACGTCATCGCTCGGGAGGCCGTGTGTGGAGCTCGGAGGTCCTTGCCGCCACGGCCAGACGCGGCTTGGGAAAGCAGGGTGGACTCCGGCAAGGCTCATTTCGACCCCTCCAGCTCGATGCCAGTTCCGCCCCGATTCGATTCCGGAGGCCGATCTGGGTCCCAGTCTGTCAAGCTGGAGGCTTCACTGGCCTGCCGATGTCCGCCGATTCGGCTTCTCCCGACTCGGCTGCCGAGTTTGCCGCCGATCCGATGCACTTCGACCGCCGATTTCCGACCCGTCGATCCGACTCTGGGCTCTCCTGGCCCCATCCTCTCTCTCCTGCCCCCCTCCTCGATCCTCGAGCCCCCTCGTCTGGCCAGGGATCCTCGAACACCCCCCTCCTCGATCCTCGACCCTCGGACCCCCTCGTCTCCTGCCACTCCTCGATCCTCGAACCCCCCCTCCTCGATCCTCGATTCCCCTCGTCTGGCCAGGGACCCCCCCAAACCCCCGCAGGGTGCTCGCCGCGCCGCCGCGCGGCGGAGGTCTTGAGCCACAGTGGCCACCGAGCGAGGGAGGGAAGGGGGCTCGGCAGAGGCAGGGCGCCGCGCTTAGCCGACCCGACCCGTCGATCCGATCCTGGGCTCGCCCGGCTCCCGGCCCCGCCAGGGGCCCGCACGCCGCGGCGATGACCGGGGCCGCCCCCGCTGGGCCGCAGCGGGCGGCGGCGCAGCGGCGCGCGGCCAGCGCCGGCGAGGGCCGAGCGCCACGCCAGCGGCCCGAGGACTCGCCAGAGGGGGGGGGGGCATCCACGATTTTGGCCTCTTGGCGTCCTTGAGGAGGTCCTCTCGGAGGCCTCGTTGGCCGTCTCGGAGGCCTCCTGGGCCGTCTCGGGCGATCTCAAGGCCATGAGGGGCCACCTTGAGGACATCTCGGCTCGTCTAGGAGACATCTGGGCGGGGTTTGGAGCCATCTGGGGGGCTGAGGTGGCCCATCACTGGTTCCGGCCAGCTGGAAGGGCAGTGAGGTGTCTTCTTGGGCCTCCAGGGGGTCGTGTTTGGCCTCCGGGGGGTGCATCGCCGCCGCCGTCGACACCGCGGCGCCCCCGACGCAGGAGCCATGTCGACTCTGTCGGTTCGAGTCGATTCGAGAGTTCCGATTTCGATCCGATCCGACTCTGGATTCCGACTTTGGTTTGGTTTTCCTCGTGTAGGCCTCGGTTTGGGCAGACGTTCGTCGATTCCGATGCCTTCCGATCTGCTCGACGATTTCTGCCGATTCGATGTGTTTCGATGGCCGATACGATTTTGGGTCATCCTGCCCCGACGCCGGCAACGACCCCGTCGGCGCTGCGGCGTTCCCGACAGCGACGATGAGCCCAGCGGCGGCGGCGACGGCGACGACCCTGAGATCCGGGCGGTGTTTTTTTTCCACGCCGGACTTTTCAGCCCGGGTGTTCGGGCCCAGGGCCATGACGGATTGCTTTGGTTCAAAAAATGCCGCAGGGAGGTGGAGTTTGGGCTTCCAGTCGTGATTTTTCATGATGATGCAATGTTTTCGCAACGTGGGATCACAGGGGGCGGCGTCAGCGGCAACGGCGCCAGCGGCGGCGAAGGGCGTTGGCGGCGTCGGCGGTGGCGGTCGGTTGGCCGGTCGTCGCCGTGATCGGTCGGTTGTCGTTTGTCGGCGTCTTATGTGGTCGTACGTGTGTGTGTGTGTGTCTTGGTTTGTGTGCCGTCGTCCGTCGTCGTAGTTGGCCGTCGTCGTTCGCCATCATCGTCGTCGTCGGTCGCCGTCCGCCGTCCTGCGTCGTCGTCCGTCGTTGTCGTTCGCCGCCGTCGTCATCGCCTGAGATGGAAGGCTCTCCCCATCCCCTCTTCCTGTTCATTCCTTCCCTCTCCGACTCCTTTCTTCCCTCGCCTCGCCTGCCCGTCCCTTCAGGAAGTGAGGAAGGAGGGATAGAGAAGAGCTTCCCAGCCGCCTCCCATCGCTCACCAGTGAAGCCTTGCGCATCTTTTTGCCCTTCATCCCTTCTCCTCATCCCTCCCCACTTCCCTCTCACAACCCCCCATACCCCCATCCACCTTCCTGCACCCGCTTCCAGTTCCTCCTCGTTCTCCTCCTGCTCCTCCTGCCGCCCTCTTGCAGTATCCCCAGCCCCCCTTCATCCTCCATCCTCCCCCATCCTCAATCCTCCCCCTCTCCCGTCCCCCGTCCAGTCGCCTACCTCTCCACGCCGCTCATCCTTCCTTCCTCCCTCTCCTACGACTGTTCCTCCTACGGACCTCTTTCTCTTTTTTTTTTTTCTCTCTCTCTCTCTCTCTTTCTCTTCCACTCGCTCTCTCTCTCTCTCGTTCCCTCCCTGTCTCTCGTTATGTTAGTATATTGATGTTTGTTTGTCTCTCTCTCTCTCTCTTACCCTCTTGCTGTCCCGGTCCTGTTTTCTTTCTCTCTCTCTCTCTCTCTTTCTTATTTTCTTTGTTTTTTTTCTGTCTCTCTCTCTCGCTCTCTCGCTCTCTCTCTCTCTCTCTCTCTCTCTCTCCCTGTCACCACAACGACACTTGTCTCTCCTGTGTCAGCAACGAGGACATGTACCCCTACGCGCAAAAGGAGGTATAGGTTCGGAGGTGTGCAGAAGCAAAAGTACCCATATCAAAATCGAGCATTGCATATCAATCAGGTAGCTTCCAACATCACCACCAAGTACCACCGCGCCTAGATTTGGGCCAGACCGAAAGACACGTCGGAATACAATTACATCGGCTCGATGTGCGGGGGCAGGAACAACAGAGGTTCCATTCTAGCGACGCACGTCTTGATGCGCATGCTCTCAACGGCACGTACGACGAACATGACAGCACTATGTCCTCGTTACGACTCTGCGGCCTCAAGAATGCCTACTACGCGATGGCCAGAGACATGGCTCTAAGCAGGCAGACAGACCCCGACGATCCCCACGGCAAGTGGAACACCTACTGGCACACCACCAATGACGGAAAGACTAGGCGAGCTACTGCTCGAGCTCCCAGCTTTCACCGAGAAACGCATGCGCACCACATTGAATTTTGGTGCAGGTACAAGCCCACCTGGCAGGTTCACGGTCGAAGGGTTACGCATTGCCGCGGGAGCCACTACTAGGTTCCGAACAGGCACAAGCTTCGCAGATTTCATGTTCAGTGCATTGTGCGCTCAGACGCTCATGTCTATACGGGCTGGATGGGGCGAAATGGCTAAAACGGCAGAGCTGGATCTTTTGCCCGACCTCTCGAAATCCAAGAGATCCCCGAAATCGTCCAGAACGACAACGGCCCGCCAGGGGTCCAGAACGGCGCGTACGCAGACGACCCGGGTTTCGACCTTATCATCGACGACAACAGCATGGCCGAGATCCCGCTTGCTAGCTGACCAAGGCGATACATGACGGACTACGTGAAACCGCACGACCGCCAAGCTGCGACCCAAGGGTAAATTACATACCATGGTACGCGTGCATGGCAAGAGTTCCAGGGCACCGAAGAAAATGTTATCCAGCACATATGATGGCCGACTCGTGGTACGAGATGCTGACCTCACCATTGACATTGTGGCAAGGCTAAGCACGCTGGTGGTACCCTGGATGCCGACGGGTGTCTGAATCGAGAGATACGACCTAAACAGTTCCAGACACTGCAGGTACTTACGACAAAGCAGAAGAGTCGAAGACCCCCTACAATCAAGGAGAATATCATCATCCTTCGCCACGCACGGCAAGCTCTACAGGGCGGCTTCGTGCATCTTGAACCACGAGCACCAGGATATAATCATCACCGACAACCACGTACCAGAAAACGGCGACAGGTTCAACCTAGAGGATCTCCTGCGAAACACATGGTTCGGAAACGATTTCACATTGTTACAATGTAGATTCACGCGCCCAATATATTCTCTGATGTTATACAGCACAACGGTGGCAAATGGACGAATCAATTGCAAGACGACTTCCAATTGTTGGAAGGATGCCAGGACTCAGCGCGACGAGGGCGCGCGGGCGCACAAGCGCGACCACGACGATGCCCCGCAACAGCTCACGGTCATCTGGAGATCCGCGGCACCGTAGACAAAGGAGCACACGAGACACGCGGCACGGCACAAGGCGTTCCACGCGCGACCTGTCCCGGTCGGACTCCACTCGCCACCCGAGCGCGCTCCACGACCGACCATGGAACGCAGAGCCGATTGCCCACAGCGCCCGCAGGCCCTCGCCACAGAATGCGCAAGGGGCGGGGCGCGTGGCCGAACGGCATCCAGAGCCAAAGAGCATCCGCTACCACGTTCGCGATGGCCTGCGCAGAGCGCCCGGCGCGAACTGCCGCGCGCGGCCCGCCCAGGCCCTTCGTGAATCCGACGCGCCGGGGGCGGAAGCGCGCGCGCCTGGCGCGGCGCCGCGCGGGCCCGCCACCGCCGGCGCACGCGCCCGGCCTCGACCTTCAGGACAGAGAGCAGCGGGCCGCGACGCGCCGAGCAGGTTACTGCGGAGCCAGTGCCAAGATGCCAGCGATCAAAGACGACGACCATGTCCACGGCGCGACCAAATTGAGAATGGGCGCGCGATAAGCCCCCCACCCCGCACCCCTCCGCCCCGCCCCACCCGAGCCACGCTTGCGAAAGTTTGGCGAGTTAAACAGCTTGCATCGCAAACATCCACGCTCCGCTCCCGCAGAGCAAGATCAACTGCGCCCGGCGCTTCTCCTTGGGCCGCCGCGGAGGGCGCGGCCCCGCGCGCGACATCGAGAGCGGACGAAGGAACCCCCGGTCATAGTCATCTGCCTGGGCCCTGGCCAGCGACTCGCACAATGGCAGCCTGCTGCGCCCTGAAGCTAGGAACTTCTGGATCAGTCGCGCGCGCGCAGGGGCAGCCGTCGGCGCTCGCACCGGAGCGCCGCGCGAGACGCGGAGCGGAGTTAGATGGATGGAACCACCAGCGCGATCGATAGGACGCGGGGCTTAATCTTTCGCGGGGCAAAAACACGCCACTGGCAGCGGGGGGCGGGCGCAGATGCGAGTGGGAAATGGGTTCAGGCGCGCCGCCCCTGGGCCCCCATGCGAAGCCTTGCTCCTCGACGCGCCAGCCGCATTGGAATCTCGGACGCCTACGTGGAGAGCCACGTGCGCATCGACTTGGAAACAATTCAAGACGAAGCCACCCCCCCGAACGCCCCCACGACCAGCGCCAACCAGCGCGTGTCCGACAGCCGCAGCAGGATGCCTGCGACCACCCCACGCAAGCACGCCGACAGGTTGCATGTGCGACTTGACCCGCGGAGACAGATACAATCCAAGACTGCCAGCCAGAAAGATGAAACACATGCAGACATCGAACCCGTGAACAATGTCCACGTGGACGAAATGCCCGACGCGCCCGCAGAGATGGCAGACAATGAACCGGCGCACGTGTCAGATACAGGCCATGCGGCACAAAGAACTACACTGACCACTATTACGACTACTACTACTACTATTGCTACGACTACTACGACTACTACTTACTACGTACTACTTATACTACTACTACTACTACTACTACTACTACTACTACTACTACTACTACTACTACTACGACTACGACTACGACTACGACTACTACGACTACGATTATTACTACTACGACGAGAACTAGTTCTACCACCACTACTACTACTACTACTACTACTACTACTACTACTACTTCTACTACTACCACTACTACTACTACTACTACTAGTACGACTACTACTACTACTACTACCACTACTACTACTACTACTACTACTACTACTACTACTACTACTACTACTACTACTACTACTACTACTACTACTACTACTACTACTACTACTACTACTACTACTACTACTACTACTACTACTACTACTACTACTACTACTACTACTACTACTACTACTACTACTACTACTACTACTACTACTACTGCTACTACTACTACTACTACGACTACTACTACTACTACTACGACTACTACTACTAATACTACTACTACTAATACTACTACTATACTACTACTACTACTAACTACTACTACTACTACTACGACGACGACGACGACGACGACGACGACGAACGACGACGACGACGACGACGACGACTACTACTACTACTAACTACTACTACTACTACTACTACTACTACTACTACTACTATTATTACTACTACTACTACTACTACTACTACTACTACTACTGCTACGACTACCGCCAGCGATATGGACGAAACTCAGCAAGCAAGCTTACAAGGTGGAGACTGCCTGATGCCCTCGCCTAGGCAAGCAGCGTGCACGCTGCGTCGGGGGGACGAAAACAAGCGGCACGGGTGCCCAAGGGACGTTGGGGGAACTTGTCGGGCACAGCATGCCAGTCAGCGCTGCATGCGCGGACCGCTGCTAGCGCTCCTGGGGGCACGCTGTATAGAGCCACTAGCATCGCCATCATCCATCGCCGACCCAGCCCGCCAACAATAGACACCACCATCAATATCGACGGATCCACTGACGCTGGGAGCACCGCTGGTCGCGACCGCGGCGCACTGCATAGTCTACGAGAGCTGCGTTGTCACATGCCTCGAGCGCGCAGCGCACGCGTGCAACCGTGGCAATCTGGCTCACCAGCGACTAGCTCCAAGCTGGGCGCGCAGTGACCTTCTAGGAGACCTCGCGGCGGACACGGCGGCCACGATAAGATGCGACTCCGAGGAGGTCCAGCGCGGCAGCCCGATGGGCACGACGCACATGGAGGCGGGGGTTCGCGATGCCACATCTCGGGGAGACGCCCAATTGGCACAGATGCTGACCAGGGTGGCCGTCGCCAAATGCGGCCACTGAACCACGGGGATCCCGGCGCGCTTCAATGTGGGAGATATCGAACCAGCTGCGCTGCAACGCGCGAAGCGCAATTAGAACCGTCCCCGTTCACATTTGACAGTGCCAGCGGCGAATTCACGCCCGCGTAACATTGCAACGGCCGCCTTTCTGGCGATATTTACAGTGGCGGCGCGAGCTTCAGCCGCTGGGCCGCCAATTACTTCCCGCGCAACTGGCGCCTGTGCGCGGCCGCCGCCAAGTGCCTGGGAGCGGTCAACATCAAGATCGACTTCGAGCCGCAGGGCGAGCGCGGCTAGGCCCCCGCCCCTACGAACGCGCCCAGGCAACTGCCGCGCAGAAGAGAGATCTCCAGCGCAAACTCTTCGACCACGTGCACGGCTACCCCGCGCGTTAGTAGGGCCCGATCGCAGCGCGGGACTACCGGGATTATGGCGCCCGTCTACAGACCCCGACGAAGCCCATCACAATCCGCTGCCACACGAGGAGATGCACACTTGCGTCCACACGCGCCGCGCGAACAACGCGCGAAGGGGGCATGGCAAGTCACTGGCCCCAACAGCGACAGTCTCATCAAGTTCACGGGCATCACTTCCGAGCGGCGCTACATCGACAACGGCGAGGACGGCAGCGAGGACAAGGGTCGCGAGATCGATCGCAAGGGCGCCCGCTTCGAAGGTGTCATGCGCTACGAGGGCAAAGCCTACAAGTGCAGCGTTGACAACGCTGCGGAGGAACGCAGCTGGGATAAGCAGCGGAAGATGGGCCACGGGGGCCACGCAGACAAGAGGGCAGAGCGGGACATCTAGTTGAGCAATGGCGTACACTTCGTCGTGACATGAAGTACTTGCACTGCTGCGCTCCCAGGCCGCTCTCGAGCGCGCTATTTTCGGTTGTGCATGCTCATCGCCGTCGCCGCGTGCATTCGCAGCAGAATGCTTCGCGCCTCCGAGACGGAGGAGCTGACTTCTTCCCCTATCCTGCGCGCTCGCGCTGCGGCCTGCGGCGCGATTGGCGTCGGGATAGCGCCTGCGTTGACTGAGACACCACAGGACTACAGCGAGGACGCGGGGCCACGTTCTGCGCGCGACTGACCGTCTGACCCACTAGCCCGCCAGCTAACCGATCTACTTGCTATACAAACTATCTGACAACAGCACATGACTACATCAGCTGCCGCGTCAACCACATATGTTCCCTCATGCCTGCCAGCACGTGCAACTGGAGACACCTGCAGTCGCATAAGTAATGGCCTCCTACATGTAGACGATCAACTCGCAGGAGCCCGGCGATGCTGCCAAAGCGCAACCAACGGAGGCAGGCATCTGGCCACGTGACTTGACCTGCGACAACAATTGGATTAAAGTTGTTCGCGCAAATGTTCGGCAGAGCTACGCATGGCGCGGGCGACAAGACCTACTGCGATATTTCAGATGCCTAGCCCAAGCTGACAGCATCACCCGCCGACGAACGCATCAACATCTACAAATTCAAGCGCGCAGAGATTCCTGGTGCGGCTACGATCGACGAGAGGACCGAATGTCCCCACAACGGGTACTATATACCGTCACCGCTACGCGATGGATACTGGGTGGCGTCGCGCAAATACCGCTAAGGACGCACGCCCATGGGAATCAGCGGCGCGCTTCTCCTACGACATGCCCTGGGACCACCAAGAGGGGGACTACCCTCACACTCGACATTTCTACGTCTGCACCAACCATCGGCAACCTCAAGCAGGCAAACGTCGCCAACATCTACGGACCGGAGTATCCGGATCCAAGTCCCAGATGGGTATACGTGGATAAAATGTGCATTATATCAACCACGGAGGTCAGGAGTTGCAAGATTGGTTGGCAATGCGTTACTAACCTACAGTTCAAGATGGTACCCTTGTGTAGAATATTACGAATCCATGTTTTGACCTTCGCCTATCTATCACTAAAACAAGCGAGGGCCTACAAAGACCATGGAAAGGCCGCGGAAGCGCGTTCGTTGCGAGCGCTCTTCCTGAAGTACCAGCCTACGCGCACGAGCGGTTTCGAGCACGGTGCTTATGTTCTTCCTCTGCGTCCCAGAAATCGATGCTGTACCACAGTACGCCTTTACCCAGCACGTCGCCCCCAGCGTCACCAACAAAGATAAGTCGTCGACCGCGCTACGGACAAGCGTATCCCATTACATCGCCACATACATGGTAGCTTTCGGAAAGCCTTCCACCCGTTGCGCGCCACGCGTGCGCGACGGTACGCGGTGCGGCGGCGCGGACAAAAAAGGATCGCTTCGCGGCGTTGCGACAAGGAGGAGGAGGAGGAGGAGGAGGAGGAGGAGGAGGAGGAGGATGGAGGAGGGAGGAGGAGGAGGGGGAGGAGGAGGAGGAGGAGGAGGAGGGAGGAGGAGGAAGGAGGAAGGAGGAGGAGGAGGAGTGAGGAGAAGGCATGAGGAGGAGGGAGGAGAAGGGTAATGATGAGGCATGATGTGGCGGAGGAGGAGCAGGGAGATGAGGAGGTGGAGGGGGAGGACGAAGAGGACGAGGAGGAAGAGGATGGGGGAGGCAGGAAGAGGAGGAGGAGGAGGAGGAGGAGGAGGAGGACGACGAGGACGACGAGGAAGACGGAGGACGAAGAGAATGGGGACGAACGGGGGAAGAAGAAGAAGGCGACGACGGCAACGACGACCGCCGCCCGCCCCCAGGGCAGCCCGGCCTGCTTCGCCTGGTGCGCGGGGCCCGCGCGCGGGAGGCCCCGCCGAGCACACGCCGCGGGGCCGTCGGCCACCGCCCAGAGGCGGGGGGGGCGCAGGAACCAGCCCCCTTTTCCCGTCTTCCGCGCCTCTTTCTTTTGCTCCTCCTCCTCCTCCTCCTCGTCCTTCTCCCCCTCCTCCTTTTCGTCCTCCTCCTCCTCCTCCTCCTCTCCCTCCCCTCCTCCCCCTCCTCCTCATATCATTATCACTACCATGATCCTCCTCCTCATTCTCATTCTCCCTTTCCTTCTCCTACCCCTCCTCCCCCTCCTCCCCCTCCTCCTCCTCCTCCTCCTCCTCCTCCTCCCCCTCCTCCTCCTCCTCCTCCTCCTCCTCCTTGCCCTCCTGCCCCTCCGGCCTTTTTATCCACCTTCATCCTTGTCCGCCTCCTCCTGCCATCCACCTTTCCACCCATCTTCCTTATAACCAGTTCTCCCCTGTCGCACCGCCAGGGAAGGAGGAGGGTCGGCTGCGAGCAGGAGTCAGGGAGCGAGGGGCTCAGACCACCTCGCGCGTCGTGAACAAAAAGCACGGCGGGCGGTCTGTCTTGGTTTTCTGCTTTGGGGGGTCCCTCACCCAGCTTCGGGACCGTCAAAAAAGATTCAGGAGTCCAAGAACGACCCAGGATCCCGCGAAGAGAAAACAAGCACCATACACATTAACTTTCGGAGGTCAGCGCGAACTTCTTGGATCGGTGCTGGACCCCTATCCGGCGCCGTCCCTGAAGCGCTCTGCGCGCCAGGGACGGGGGTCCCAACTCCGATCCACGAACTCAGCGCGGACCTCCGAAAGGTTATTTCTATGTAATTTTTGCTGGAATCCCAAACGTGCTCGAGTCGTGAAGGAAACACGGCGGAAGGTTTTTGGCAGTTTTCGGCCGCCTGGGGCCTCCGCGGGGCCTTGGACCATCAAGGAACGATTCAGGATGAACAGCTGGTCCCAGGGAAGGGGTTCAGACCTCGGGGGGTTGCGTCATGAACTAGATCATGACGTCGGGGGTCGATGGAAGGGGGATGGGGAAGGACGCCATGCACCAAAGGTCACCTTTGCCTGGGGCCACCCTCTGCGCGTAGCCGGGAAGAGGACGAGGTGGGCGGGGAGAGGAGGAAACACACACTGGCACGCCGAGAGGACTGGCGCCGCGGAGCGCCTGCCGCCTGCCAATGAAGCAAGGAGGAGGAAGCTCGAGCGAGTTGCCGACTCGAAGCGGGCGGGCCGAACTCGAGTGGGGGTCTGGGGAGCCCTGTGGGCGTGAGCCTCCCCACGGCCTCTGGATGCAGGTCGTCGCGGATGGCCTGCGTCTCAGGCGGGAGCTGCCCGCGCCGAGCTTGGCGATTGGCCCCCAGCCTCTTCTGACGCCTTTTGCCAGGGTTTTGCTCTCCTCTTTGGTCTCTCTCTCCGCGGAAGTTTGATGGGAAGGTCGGCCACCCAGTGCCGCCATGCCCTGTGAGCGCCGTGGATGCGAACGTTGAGACCCACGTGAGTCATTTCCCAGACCACCGACGCTTAAATGTTTCAGATACGAGCTCCCCGGAGCTCTGGACAACTTCCCGTCGGCTGGTTTTTCGTCCCTGATCGCTTTTGTTTCCGGTTCTGGGGCCCGGCGTGGCCTCCGAGACGCCGAAAATTACAAAAATGACGTATTGATGTCAGTCAAGACGTACGTTGGAGGTTTTCGTACGCCCAGGGACGTCGGCGAAGGTGGTTACTGCAACCTGATCCTCGAAGCCCCGCTTGCTGACCACAGAGTCAAGACGTTTAGATCAGGATCACTCTGGGCTCAGGCAGGAGGGGCTGTTTTTTTTCTGGACGTTCTTCATATCTATGTCGGGGCGAACCTCTGCGTGGCCAGAAGAGCTTCTTCGTTCCTTTTTCAGCGTTCCCATCTGATAGCTGATTGTACGCCACGGGACGTCGGCGAAAGTCAGGTGGCTGCGACCCGATCCTCGAAGCTCCGCTGTCGATGGGAGCGGCGCCGTCGCCTCTCTGGCACGCGTGGAGGGCGAGCAGGGAGGCCGCCGCGGCCCGCCGGCGATACCCCCTCCTCGGGTCTTCGGGGAGGGGGGAGGGAGGAGGACAAGCGGGAGGAGGATAAGCGGGAGGAGGAGGAGGAGGAGGAGGAGGAGGAGGAGGAGGAGGAGGCCGCCTGTGTGGCATGCGGGGCGCCAGCGCCAGCCCCCAAAACATGCACGGAGTCTCGGACGTGTTCTGCCGCGGAACGCCCGCGGCGTTTGCGACGGTTGGCGGGAGGTACCCGAAAGAAACTAGGGAAGTAAGAAGGGAGGAGGACAGAGGAGCAGGAGCAGGAGGATGGAGGAGGAGCAGGGAGGAGCGGAGTAACCCCTTGAGCGCCTTCGGCCCGCTGCCGGCTGCCAGCATGGGCTTGCGTCCCAGACCCATGTTGTGATGGCTCCCGGGCCCGAAAGCTGCCTCCGAGGGCCGAAGTCGAGGAAAACGCCCGGACTGAAAGGTCTGGGTCCCCAGAGGTCTGGATCTTCTCCCCGACGCCGGCTCTTCATCCTGAGCGGCCTTTTGACTGTCCTAGGGCCCGTTGCGAAAGATTTCCGCATTGAGTTTCTCGAGACGTCGGATTTAAAAGATCAGATCGTCGGCGGCGGTCTGGGAGCGGAGGAGCTCCCTTGAGCGCCTTTGGCCTGCTGCTGGCCGCCGCCGAACGAGGCCGTCGCGGCGTCCGCCGCCGCCACTGCCCATTGCTGCTGCCGCCGCCTCCCTCGCCGCCGCCGCCGTCGTCGTCGTCGTCGTCGTTGTCACCGCCGCCGTCGTCCCGTCCTCGTCCCTGTTCTCGTACGCCTCCTCGTCGTCGTCGAAGTCGAAGTCAAAGTCGTCATCGTCACCGCCTCCGTCGTCGCCGTCGTCGTCGGCGCCGAATGGCGCAATCTCAGAGGTAGGACTTAGTGCGTGGTTTGTTCCGGGGGGGGATAATTTATCGATACCGCTGCTCGTCGCCACGTTTGGATTATTTAATCGCTTCGCTCATTCCGCCGGCCCATACAGTCTCATGTCTGCCGTTTGCCCGAGGGCCTGGTGTCAATGCGGCGCTTTGGGGGTTCCTGGGGCGCTCGGGGGGGCATTTGGGGGGCCTCCTGGGGCCGCTTGGGGGACTCTTGGGGGCCTCCTGAGGGCCTCGTCGGGGCCTCTTGGGGCCTCTTAGGGGCCTCTTGGGGCCTCGGAGGGGCTTCTTGGGGCCGAGGGCTGGAAATGTTGTTTCGTGTTCCCTCTCTTGGGGCGTTCTTGGGGCCCTCTTGGGCCGTCTTGGAGGCTTCTTGGGCCGTCTTCAAGCCCTCTTGGGCCATCTTGGGGCCCTCTTGGGGGCCTCTTGGGCCCTCTTGGGGCGATCTTGGGGGCCTCTTGGGCCGTCTTGGGGCGTCGGGAAGCCGAAAAGGTGGAAGCTCCAAAATCTCTCAAAAACCTAAGGAAAATCAATGAATTTTGCCTCCGGAGGCCCTCTTGGGAGTGCTCTTGGAGGCCTCTTGGGGCGTCTGGGGGCCATCTTGGGCGTCTTGGAGCGATCTTGTGGCATGTCGGACCCCTCGTGTACCATCTTGGGGGCCTCTTGGGGGCCTCTTGGTTTTGTTTGGGTCCTCGGGGACGTTTTCGGAGCCCTGTTGGTGCGCTCATGGGGCGCTCGACCCGGCCGGGACCCGGCCGGGACCCGGCCGGGGACCGGCCGGGACCTGGTCGGGGTACTTTTCGTCCGGGGACCCCCAGGGGCCGCCCCGCGCGCGCGAACTAGAGAATTGTTAACCAGTTACCGGAGATCTTAGCACGCCTCTGGCCCGTTGGGCCGGCGAATTTTCGAAATTCTGGTCAGAACGTACCCCAGGAGAAGTCCGTGAACGAGCGGTGTCTGTACTTGATGGTCCCCCCAGTTTCCATACCCCATTCGGAGCCATTCGGCGAGACGCTTCCTATTGAGGAGCGCATGTATGGAAATCGCTCGAAACATGTGTTGCGAGGAGAAGGCGCCGCCGCCGTCGTCGTCGTCGTCGTCGTCGTCGTCGTCGTCGAAGCCGAGGTCGTCGTCGAAGTCATCGTCGTCGTCGTGGGGGGCGCGGAGCGCGGCGTGGCAGGGGCCGCCTCCGAGACGCCGCGCGGACCCTCCTGAAGGTGTTCAGGGCGCGCCGGGCGGCTGGCAGAGGCAGGGGCCTTCGGGGGGGGGGGAGGGGGCCGCCGCGGAGAGAGCGCAGATCTCCGACGATGTGAGTCCCTCCTCCTCCTCCTCCTCCTCCTCCTCCCCCTCCTCCTCCTCCTCCTCCTCCTCCTCCTCCTCCTCCTCCTCCTCCTCCTCCTCCTGTCCCTCCCCCTCCCCCTCCCCCTCCTCCTCCTCCGCCTCCGCCTCCGCCTCCGCCTCCTCCTCCTCCTCCTCCTCCTCCTCCTCCTCCTCCTCCACCCGACAGGTTGGGGCTGTCAGACATGGAGAGGAGAGCGCCCGACGCGCCTCGCACACCCTGCATACCGCGGCCGCCACGCCCAAAGCGTGCCAGTGTTGAGTCGGGCCTGTCCCTCTAAAGGGGGAATGTTCGAGAATAGTAAAAGCACAGTCTGGGGACTCTTTTTTAGTATTTTTGACCACTTGGGAATATTTTTGAGTATGTTTTGTTTTCGTCGACAATCCCCCTGCAGGGGGACACGCCCGACTTGATGCCAGTGCTCCCGCCTCGCGTCTTCGACGAGTGACGACTGCATTGCTCCCTGGGTGCAGCATCTCGCCAGCCCGCCTTGCTCGGGGGCGGCAAAGAGGGGGGTGATGACTAGGGGGGAGGTGGATATCATGGCGTGGGCCATGATTTTTCCCCAGATTTCATGGCGCCTCGTCGTGTTTCATTACGTCCCTGGCCCCCCACCCTTGGGCCGCGCACACGCCGCCGGCCACGATTTGCACCCCCCCCTCTTGGACAAGCCCCTCTTGGCCGCCCCCGACGTGCGTATCCGGGAGGGGATCACTCGGAGCAAAATCATTTGTTCAATCTGGGCTGCCTTTCGCCGATTTCGGCGCCTGAAGACCGTCACCAGGTCCCAGGACAATCAAGACTGGACCTGGGGCGAAAGTTAGGCCCAGGGGAAGCGGTCGGGACCTCCTGAGGCCAAAGGCCGAGAGAACCCCAACCGGCGGAGATATGGGAGCAGCTCGCGAGAGAATTGGCGGTCCTGGGGTTCGGGGCCGTTCTCAGGATCTCTGGGTTCTCCCCGGGCTTTCAGACCGTCCAAAAGAGGACTCACGAGGAGAAGTTGGTCTCAGGGAACGCCCTGGGGCCCAGGACCCGTTCTGTTCGGGACCCCATATTGCTTCCTGGCAGCTTCGGTCGGCGGCGAGCGAGGTGGGGGAAGTGAGAAGAGGCGGGCCTTCTCAGAAGGCTCGGAAGTCCCCACGCCTTCTGAGAAGTTGTCTTAGCCTTCCCCGAAGACACAAAAAGCTGCAGAAGGTGCCAGGGTTCCTGAGAAGCCCCGCCGCCTTCCGAGAAGGCCTTCGTCTTCTCATTTAACCCCCCGCTCGCCGCCAGTTCGGGGGGGCGGTTTCGGGGGGGGGGGGTCCGGGGGCACCGCCAGGGGGGGGATTATCTCGCGGGGGGGGGGGGGGCGGCGGAGGCAGCGACCCTCCATCGCCCCTGCCTCGCCGACGGGGCGCCCGACCGGGAGCCCGCCCCGCCCAGGAGCGCGCGGTTTCGCCATCGGGAGTCCATCGCCGATCGCTCTCAGGGGTCCATCGCCGATCTCGTGGTCATGGCATCCCCGATGCCAAGTTGAACTTTCCCCAGTCCCCCCTATCGTGGGGTGGGGGGGGGAGGGAGAAAATGGGGATGACGAGGGGAGGGGGGTGGGTTGGAGGAACGGCCCTGCGCCATAGCGTCTTCTTCAATCCCGGCAGTTGTCGTCGGTTTCGACCTCCGCGGGGGCAGTTTGCCAGGCCCAGGCCCAGGGATGGACGAATGCCCTCCGGGAAGGGGGGGTCGAGTCCTCTGCAGGAGGCCCCGCACTGAGAGAATCATGACGCCGAAAGTGTGGAGGGCCGCATCATCCCAGAGGATCCATGCCAGGAGGCTTCGAAGATGAAGCACATGAGCACAGACGGGTATCACCGAGCGCGTCCCGCTACTCGCAGAGTGCCTGCTTGCAAACGTCGGAGAAGCACATGCCTGCTCCGATGTAGTTTATCGTAGAGCCCCCGCGGCGGCTCCGGGCCACCTGCGAGCAGTGACTTTGCGAGCAGTGGAACGCGCCTGTCCAGGGTGGGCGCCGGACCAGCCGCCGCTGGTACGCTTCGGGCGCGCCCGGGGAGGGAGCGGCCCAGCGCCGACCCCATGCACTGGGACCTCCGGAGGCAGAAGCGTGTGCTCAATGCACTCTGGATGGCTCTTTTCCCTACGAGGATGAGTTCTGATGTTCCCACCTGCTTTGGCCTTGGCTACCAGAAAGAGTTCCGAGCACCAAGAAGATTATCGAAACGTGAGGGTTGTCACGCGCCGGGCCCTGCGAGGCGATGCTCGGTCGACGCTGCTTCGATGCTTTTCTGGGTGCTCGAACTCGCTTCTGGGACGTGGTCATTCAGTCCGATGGAAGCCACACACTGTTGCGAGGATCCACGCCGGGGAGTTCCAGATCCCCAGCGGCCCCCCGAAGCCGCGCACCGAGCCCAGACTGTAGGCCTCCGCCCCTCCAGCGTGAGATGTGCAGTACAGTCGGCTCGCGTCGGTGTCCACCGGCGGCGACCCCGCCGCTGGCGTTCAACGTTTCACGCCGGCGGCGCCGCCGGCGACCCATGATGGGTCGGCGGTTAACGATCTGACGTTTCGTGAACGTTCGATCGCTCAAGGTTGAGCGACCCCCGCGGTGTCAGAAGCCAACCCCGAAGTCGGCACGACACGAGCCTGCCGTATGCATGCCTGCGCCGCTTATGCCGTGTCTCCGATCAGCCACCGTTGTTGCAAGCTGCTTGGGCGACTGGGCACCGCGCCTCGCGGCCATGTTCGAGGAGGGAAAGGAGGAGGAGGCGGAGGAGGAGGAGGAGGAAGATGAGGAGGATCAAGGATCCAGGATCTGGGCTGGGTGTGGGTGCGAGTGGACGGGCCACCCGAAGAGTGCTGGTTAGCCAAGCGGGCTTTAAGGCTCGAGCCAATGAATCTGGGCCTCCCGAATGGGCTCGGAGTAGATGCGGTCGGAGGGTCGCGCCGCATACCGATGTTTCGGCGATGCGGCTCGATATGCAGCCTGACTTCTCCACGCCGACGACGCCGATGCATCGGCGATGCGGCGCGATCCTCCGATCCCATCTTCTACCCCCGTTGGGGTCGCTTAGAGGCCTCGGAGGATGTACGTAGAGGCTCCACAGACATCCTCCGATCCGATTCTGGTACCGCGGCCCCAGCCACGTTGCTGCCTCGTTGCCGCATCGTTACGCCGCTCGAGTGGGTCTGGGTTGCGTGCAGCCGACAATTGAGCGACGGAAAAAGCGGGTCGATTGCGCTGACATTCGTTCGTACGTTGCCCACGTGAGGTCGCGGGTGAGCGCCCTCGTTTCCGATGCAGCGTACCGCGCTGGCGGCTCGAACGTGCCACCGCGTGAGGTCGAGTTTGTCAGACTCCCAAGGGCTTGACGACTTTTCGCCGCGACTTGTGGAGATCAAGCTGGGAAAATCACGGCAAATGCAGGCACACTGGGGCAAGTCCATGCGATCCGTGTGATCTCCAGGGAAATGTGGAGAGCAAATCGTGGCCGCCCCAGCGCGAGTCGAGGAACGGCAGAAGCAGTCAAGCCCTTAACGGAAGACCCGCGTGATGTCGCCGTTCCTTCGAGGACGACGCAGGGGGGGTAGGAACTGGAACATATACATCACCAGTGGCGGGCTGTTTTTCTGTTCCAGAACTTTCTGAGGGTCGGGGACGACGTCGGAGTGGTATGGTGTATACTATGTTCCCCGCTTCCCGGTGGAAGCAACGAAACATGTATACACCAGGATCCCGTATGCACCAGGATCCGCTTTCTTGTGCGAGTTGCATGGTGGGGCCGTAGAAAACGTCGGCGTGCCGAGTCCGGTCCCTCCGGAAGGCCCCCCCCCCCCGTTGGGCGCCTGGCGCGGCGGGGCCAGGCGCGGCCTCGGAGGGCACGCCGCGACGAGGAGCGGCGCAGCGCGCTCCCGGAGCCCCCTGCGCGACCCGCTCGGGGCGCGCCCCGACGGCGACGACGACGGCGGCGACGACGACGGCGACGGCGACGGCCACGGCCACGGCCACGGCGACGGCGACGGCGACGGCCACGGCGACGGCGACGGCGACGGCGACGGCGACCACGAGACAAGGAACATATTCCGATGCCGCTGCTCGTCCTGGAGAGCCCTCGTCGCCACGGCTGGATCCTCCTCGAAATCCTGGTCAGAACGCGCCCCCGGAGAGGTCCCAGGAGTAGCGGTATCGGTGTTTTTCTGTTCACCCAGACGACGGCGACGAGGGCGATGGCGGCGGCGGCGGCGGAGGCGATGGTGGCGGCGGCGACGACGACGACGCCTTCGCGGAGGCCTGCGGAGAGTTTCCAGAAGCCTCTGGGGCCCTCGGGAGGCCTCCGGAGACAAGGGAACTTCCAGGGACGTCGGCCGTCGGCGGCGGCTGCGGCGACGCCCTCAGCGACGGCCTCCAGACAGCCCAAGACGCCTTCAAGACGCCCCAAAAGGCCGCCAAGAGCACTCCCGAGAGGGCCCCAAGAGGCACCATTCACTGATGGTCGTGAGGTTTTTTAAGTTATTTTCGCGTTCTCACCCTCCTGCCGCCTCCCTCCCTCCTCGACCTCGTCATTGCTTTGTTGATGCTGGAGTCCAGCCAGCAGTCTCGAGGCTACCACCAATGAGCCGGCGAGTTGCTGAGCCACGGAAGCAGATTCTTGGCAGGGATGGTCAGCCTCGCGACAGGGATTATCTATGGGATAACTGCTCGACGCGTACTCGCGGCAGGATCTGGTTCGAGCGACGATATCACCCGCCACCTCCGGATCCACCGATGCGCTGTCCTGCGTGTTTGAGATGTGCAGTTGGCATTTGTGCGTGCGTCTGCGCGGCCGATGCCGTTTCTCCGATCAGCCACTTTTGTTGCAAGCAGCTTGGCGACGGGACACCGCGCCTCGCGGCCCTGTTCGAGGAGGAGGAGGGAGAGGATCCAAGATCCGGATGGGCGTGGCGTGGGTGCGAGTCGACGGGCCACCCGAAGGGTGCTGGTTGGCCAAGCGGGCTATAAGGCTCGAGCCAATGGATCTAGGCTTCCCAGATGGGGTTGGAGTAGATAGGTCGGACGATCGGGCCGCATCGCCGATACATCGGCGATGCGTCTCGATGTGGAGCTTGATGTTGTCCCCGCCGACGTAGCCAATGCATCGATGATGCATTTGCAATGCAGTTGGGATGTATTGGCGATGCGGCGCCAACCACATCCACTGTGACCCCATCTAAGAGGCCTCTATTGTTGCAAGCTTGGGCGACGGGGCACCGCGCCTCGCGGCACTGTTCGAGGAGGAGAAGGATCCAGGATCCGGGCGGGGCGTGGGTGCGAGTGGACGAGCCACCCGAAGGGTGCTGATTAGCCAAATTTCGGGCCAACGAGTATGCAATATTCACGGGCCTGGCCACCGAAAAGGCGCGCTCATGTGTAGCCGTAGGCCGCGGCCGTCGCTCGGTTTGTGGACGGAGCTCCGTCCGATTCCGCTGTGGGGGCCCTCCTCCAGGTGGTGGGCACGGCTCAGCCTGTGCTCCCGACTCCGTCACGTCGGCAGCAACTGTGCCTGAACGCGTGAGCTGACTGCGCGGTCCCCGGAAGTCCCGACCTGTTCCCCAAGGCCGGGCTTTTCCGTCCCGACTCGGCTCTGGACGGTCGCGAGGCCGAGGCCCGGCGAGGTGCCTCTGGAGGCCGAGAAAGTGCCCAACACCGCCCGTGGTGAGTGTTTCACGCGGCGGGCATGCCTGGGCCTGGAAGACCTCCACCCCCTGGGCCGCCCCCCCCCCCCCCCCCCATCCCCGCTCTCCGCTGCCTCGGACCCCGCATCTTCCTGTCTGGGCGGCGAGCCCAGGGCCGGTGCCTCAGCCCGAGTGGTCGTGTCGACGGCCCCGTGGCCCAGGGTGGGCCCCCGAGAGGGCCGAGCGTGGCCAGAGGCTTCCCGTCGTGCTGCTGTGCGCCGCGAGGCGCGTCCGGGGCATGCGCAGGGGCCCCTCTGCGGGGCAGGTCGGGTCGGAGGCCCGCGCCCCCCACTCGGCAAGCAGCTCCTGGCCAGGGGCCTGCGGGCTGGCGGCCGCCCGCCCGGCCGCAGGGGCTGCCGGGGATGGCCTCTGGCAGGTTCGTGGAGGCGTGCGCGTCTGCTTGCGCTCCGTCCCCCAGGCTGCTGCCCCTCCTCCGTCTTGAAGGCAGCTTTCGGGGGACAGGCAGGATGAACGCTACGGTCGCCAGGCACGGCCGTAATTGCTGCGGTGCCGCACTGCCATACGACAGTCGAGGCATCTTGCCTCGTCCTATGCACCATATCAGGGATACCCACCTGTCGTATCCCCTACATCTCCCATTCCCTTTGCCATCCCGTTGCATTCAAGATGCATGGACGCCTAGTTCTCACTCCTCCTCCTCCGTTCTCGCTCTCCCTCCTGACGCTAGGGATGTTTGACTTGGCGTGTCGCGCCGCCAGTTCTGGCCCACCACGCTGCGGCTCCACACACTAACCACGCCCAGGTCCCCGAGCATCAACGGTCCGAAAATTTTCCAGCTTGCCCCGCGGAGGGGAGCGGCACGCTATCAGCTCGCAGGCGTAGCGTGTCGCCAATGCAGCCACCGCGGCACGCTTAGCACAAGTTCCAGGCCGTATCTTTCGCTCTGTCTCTTTCTATGTCTCTCTCTCTCTCTCTCTTTGTCTCTCTCTCTCTCTCTCTCTCTGTGTCTCGCACGCCGGTGGCAGCTCGCCAAGCCCAGCGCCTGCGCACGAAGCGGTTGGTAAAAGCACCTCTGCCTCTGCAGCTGGAGCCCAGGGAAAAAAACATCACCAGCACCACATCATCATCGTCATCTTTATCTTCCAGCTGCCTGCGGCAAGTTCCGCCACCATGTGACCCCTCTCGTCGCTATATGAGGGCGGCCTGGGCCGTCTTAGAACTCTTGTTGGGCTGTTTTGCAGCCCTCTTGGGCCATATTGGGGCCGTCATGGGCAGTCTTGGACCGTGGGGCCGTCTTGGGGAACTCCTGGTGCCGTCTTGAGCCGACTGGGAGACTCTCAGGAACCTGATTTGGCGCGTTTGGCTTCGTTTGGGTTCCTCGAAGGCCCCCTTGGGGGGATGTCTTGAGCCGATTGTGCCAGACAACGCAACATATTGAAAAACCTAAGTGTGTCCTAGGGTGTTTAAATGATGTTGGCGCTCCTGGAACGGTTCTTTCCCTTCTCCGTGGTGTTTTGGAATTCTTTTGAGATCGTTTTGGGGGCTGTTGGGCGACAACTGAGGCAGTCTTGAGGGAGCCTTGGTGGGCTTCCTGGGTCCTATTGGAAGCTGTGGAGAGCTTTGGATAGCCCAACGGAAGCCTCGGGCTGTCCAGGAAAGCTCGGGAGGGGGAGGCGAGGGGGGAGCGATGTACGCGCCTGAGTGTAAGGAGGGGGGATTTTAAGAAGATCTGTAGAAACCCTGTCAGGCAGCACTTGGCATTCTACAACGCCTCAACGTGCAGGGGGGCACCATGGCGCACCCCATCATCGTCATCGTCACCGTTGTCATTATCGTCGTCACCACCACCACCATCATCATCATCAGCAGCAGCAGCATCATCATCAGTATCATCACCACCATCAGCATCAGCACCATCACCAGCAGCACAATCAGCATCACGATCATCATTCATGGCCACCATCGCCACCATCAGCATCCCCATCACGAATTTACCATAACTGTCATCATCCGAATCACCGTAATCACGTCGTTGTCGTCATCATCATCAGCATCATCATCTGCTTGATCCTGGCCAGCCCCCTGTTTACTCCCTTCCTCCGCCTCGCGATCGTCCTTCCCAAGTGGTAGTGTCCGTCCCCTGCTCGCCCCCCGTAAGTACATCTCGCGCGCCGCCAGGAGACCTCATTGATGGCGCTCCGGGCGTGGTTCCCATCGTGCCCCTGATGCTGAACGAGAGGCGCCGGTTTTTCGTGGCGGCAGATCCAAAGGGGGAGCGATAAGGCCATTGAGAGGGGATGAGCAAGAGGAGGAGGAGGAGGAGGAGGAGGAGGAGGAGGAGGAGGAAAAGGAGGACCGCACCGGCAACTCGGGGCTTCGCTCCGCGCACCGCGCATTGCAGCGACAGGGAGGACTCAAGCGTTAGTAAGGAGCCTTCGGGTTGCGCACAGGCGGCCCCCCGCCCCAGTGCAGTCCTGGCTGGCCGGGACTGCTTCGGGGGGCCGTCCTGTCACTGTGCGCAGCCCGAAGCTTCACCATCGCGCATGCGGAGGCCGCGCGTCCAGGCAGCGAGAGAGGGAGCGCGTGGTCACGGGCAGCGGAGACGCGAGAGGGATGAGCCGTGGAGCTCAGCCTTACTGCCGCTGGTCACCCCGCTTGGTTTCGTCGAGGCGTGGACCGAGCAATCCACCGTGGGTCCAGAGCCGCTCCTGGGAGCTGCAGTCAGCACTTGTCGGGCGACTCCGTGGCCAGTAAAGGGCCGAGCACTCCTCAGGTCCTCACCGTGGGCTTTCCTCTGGCGCTCCCCGTGCAGATTGGCGCACGTGGGGCCCACCACAAAGGGCAGACTGCGCTCCGATTCGATGCGATTCGATTCGCAGGCTGGGGCTGCGAATTCGGTTCGATTCGGTTCGATTCACTGGCATCGGCCAGGACAGGCGAGGCGATCCGACGATCTCGATCCGACTCGGGACGATATCCTGGCCAGGAGCTTCGTCCTTCTGGAGCGCTCGAGGAAGAAAACGGCATAAGAATAGACTTTCGGAGCTTCCCGCGGATTTCTTGGAACGGCGCTTGAGACCCCTGGCACGGTCCTCGCGGCAGGGAGGGGCCGCGCGGAGCTTCGAAAGTTTATGGCTATGAGGGTGCTGTTATTCCATTGAGACCGACAGCGAGGATTGTGCTACAGTGGGCACACCAAATACGGAGCAGGCATGCCGACGGGTGCCCTACCATGTTTGCTTGTTTGCCCGATGGGCCCGCAGGGCCCCTGCGGCACTATGACGCTCAGAGTCGACGAAGGATATGCCCCTAGACTTCTAATAGCTAGACACCTGATTGTGTGCGCCTGCTGGAGGCCACCCCCAGAACTGCGAAGACAATTGCGCCTCGCGCGTCGCGGCCTTGCTCGCAAAAGGTGTTCCTTCTCAAGGGCGGCGGTGCAAGGGCGCGAAGGTGGCCGCGCATCGCGGGGCGTGAATCGCGAAGTTGTGTGACCCAGGAGACCGAGAGCGAGGGTCTTGTTTACCCCCGTTTGATTCCCTTCCCTCCCTCTGGTTGGATCGGTCCTCGTTTGTGATGCGGCGCTGCGCGCGCGCGTCCTCTTCCTCCTCCCTCCTCCTCTTCCCTTCCCCTCTTCCCGCCCTCCCCACGCACCCGCCTGCTCCTCCTTTCTTCTCTCGGAGGAGAAGAACAGCATGAGCATTAAACTGTCGGAGTTCCGCGCGGATTTCTTGGATCGGCGATGGGCTGGCCTTCCTGGCGCGCGGAGGGCGCCAAGGGCGCCGCCGGAGGCGCCGCAGGGGGGACCCCAGCGCCGATCCAAGAGATCCGCGCGGGGCTCCGAAAGTTTATGCTTATGCCGCCTTTGCTTCGTTTATTCTCCGTGCCTCTCCCCGCTCGACCTCTTCCTCCCAGCCTGGGCGGGCTGCCACCTGAGCGCCGCAGAAAACGCGCTTGTTTCCATTGTAGCCAGCCACTGGCTGCCCGCGTCAACTGCCGCGTAGGGCCGCTATGTTATGTCAGATCGCGTAAGGCACATGTATGTTCGTCGACCACCTGTGAAGCTGTCGCCACTTCCCATTTTGCTGCCTCGCTCGCCATGTGGATATCTGTTCCCTCTTGCTCGCACGATGGACGGCAAGCGCGCACGCGTGAGCGCAGCAGCCTCTTCTCCTTCGGCCCAAGAGATGTTCCAGACCGAAGAACAATTAGAATGCCGAGCCGCCTGCGCTCCGATTCGATGCGGTTCGACTCGTCGGCCGGGGCCGCGATTCCGATTCCATTCGGTTCGATCCACCGTCATCGGCTGATCAGGTGCGGCGACCCGATCTCGGTGTGATTCGGGACGCCATGCTGGCGATCCTGTCCGTCTCCGATCCGATCCAACTTTGCGCGAGTGGATCCAGCCCAGGTCTGGCCAGGAGCCTCGTCCCGCTTCAGCGCTCGGGGAAGCCCATGGCATAGACACAAAAATGCTCGGAGCTCCCCGCGGATCTCTCGGAGCGGGGCCAGGGCCCCGCCCCAGCGGTGCCTCGTTCGCCGCCCCATGGCACGCTCCGCGCGCCAGGCAGCGGGGTTCCACGCAGCCGTTTTGCGCTCAAGCCATTGAGCGTTGCAGGTGCAGGATTCAAAACGGCACTTCGTGCCTGCGAGTCATTCAGCTTCGGAGAGGGCCGTACCCTCACAGTTCATAATCATTTCGCCGCCATGGGGAAAGGCGGCTACGGCAAGCGCGGCCCTGGCGGTCAGTATGACAAGGGCGGCAAGGGTGGCAAGAGCATCCCCTCGGCGGCCGCCCTCGAGCACGAGATCGCGCTGTTCGACAGTGGTGGCACGCCTCTGCCTCCTTGGGCTGCTCGGGCTCCTGGGCTACAGCCTGATGGTCCTCCCGCCCTCTGGACATGTTCGGCTTGCGGCTGCAGGAAGAACGAGATGCGCTGGTCACGCTGCAAGCATTGTGGCTCTCAGTGGACCCCGTTCCAGCCATACACGCCCACTTCCTACGGCACGCCTGGGGGAGTCTGGTCTGCTGGCTTCAGCAGCAACCTGCCGTACTCCCCCTTTGCTGCTGCTCAAGGGCCACCAGGCACCTTCGCGCCTGGCGACCATGGTGGCGGCAAGGGTGGCAAGTCGCCAGGTGGTCCAGCCAAGCCAGAGACACCTCTTTCTCCTGAAGAGCACGCGTCTTTGGCGGAGCTGCTGGCCAAGGCTGGAGACGCGCTGGGAGCGGCTAAGCATCGTGAGCTGGCCAAGCCTCCACCTGTGGCCAAGGAGCCCACCCTGCAGCACCAGGTTTCCATGGCCCACAGCAAGCTGCGAGGCCTCGAGAGGAAGTTGCAGGGCGCGGTTCAGAGGTTCGAGGAGTGGTCGGTGCAGATGGTGGAGCAGCGTGCTTTGGTCACCAAGTTCACTGAGGAGTGTGAGCAGGCCGACGTTGAGCATCGTCGACTGGTGGCCGCACTTCATGCTCAGACGTCGGCGGCCGACTTGCAGAAGGTGCCAGAGGACAAGGTCGTGCCTTGTTCGCTGTCGTCGATCATGGACGGGACCTTCACGGACAAGCTGGTCATCGACCCCTCGGAGCTGCTTGGAGGCGTCGAGGATTTCGAGCTCTCGGAGGCCGACAAGGAGGAGCTCGAGAAGAGGGGCAACCAGCTGCGAGAAGGCATCCAAAAGTTGGCACAGCGGCTGTTCGCGCAGGCCTCCGAGACTGCCAAGAAGATCCAGGAGGCACACAAGGAGCATCTCGGACGACTGGCCAAGAAGAGGAAGACTGACGAAGGTGCTGCTCCTGGCGCTGATGGAGGTGGAGATGCTGAGTCAGCCGCAGACGACGCTGCCACTGGTCCAGCGGCAGCAGCAGCGCAGCTTCCAGAGGTTGATGCTGAAGCTACCGCGTCTGCAGCTCTACGTCAGCGGGCCGCCAAGATCATTCAGCATGGGCAGCCTGAACAAGACCCCCCCCCCCCTGCTGCCGCGTGAGCATCAGCAGGGGGGCCTACATCGTGAACACGTTCAATCCAGCGGCACGCTCACTTGCCCAGCCTCGCACATGTTCTCTCCGTTCCCCTCGACAGGGGACTTTAATGCTCTGGGCCTCGGCCTTGCACCTTGGGGCGGAGACGAGAGTTGCCCAGGCTGGCAAGCAGAGCCCGCACCCGCTGGAGCTGCTGTCGACGCTCGCCCTCGTGGGTGTCATCAGCCTGCTGCTGAAGGAGTAGGGCTGGCTTTTTCTTTCGGAGTCGAGGATCCTGAGGTCTCAGGTCCTCTTGCACTGCATCCTGGATCCCTGGAGTGTTTCTGGGGTTGTCTGGGCTTGCCGTCTTGCCGTGGGAACCTCCAGGAATCGTGCGTTGAAACTGGAGGGCCCCACGAGCAGTACCCGCTTTTTGCTCGAAGCAGCTTGGAATCTCGGTTCAGGACGCTCCTCCAGCCTCTGGGGGCACCCGTTTTCGGGCCTGGTGAGCTTTGTGCCACCAGGGCAACATCTGGCTCGGCCTCGGTGTGCAGTCGCAGCTCGTTTGCCTTTCGGCGCCCCCGCTGGGCCCCCCCCACGTGAAGCGACCGTCTGCCTTTAAGAGATCGCACTCGTCGCTCAGTGGAGCGGTCAAGCACACCCTTTGGAGGGCCAAGCGGGTGCTAGCCTCAGGTTTTGCCAGCTTGGCGCGTGCTGTTCACAGTGCTGCCTCGTGCGAGGCGCATTTTTTCGGGTTTGCCAACCCGTGTGAGGAATATCCTGTGCTCGTTGATTTGCAGCCGAGCAGTCCTGTCGAGTTTTTCAGCGGCCCCTCGGACCCTTCGGTGAGTTTCGTCGCCTCGGGCTCCCCTGAGGCCTCTGTTGGCCACGGCTCGGCCCTTCTGGACAGTCTTGAGATTTGCATCCACACGGTTAATTGCAACCGATGGTCGACCATGAAGGAGCTCATGGCCAAGACTCCTGCGCACATTATCTTATGCCAGGAGCACAGGATGCGAGAGGATGAAGATCTCTCACAAGCCTCGGCGTGGTGTGCTCGCCAAGGGTGGAAAGGCATCTTTACTGCGGCCCATGGGACCGCCGCTGGTTCCACGTCGGCTGGCACTTGCATCCTTGTCAGAGACTTTCTCGGCCTTCATGAGCCCCCTGGGGGGGCGGTGGTTGCTGTTGGCAGAGCGACTGCTGGCATAGTGCACCTCCCGCGAGGTGATCGTTTCGCTCTCTGCTCTGTTTATCTCCATCACTCTGAAGGGTTGTCTGAG